ACTTTGGTCCACTGGTTTCCAGATGTATCTGACCCTAGAACCTTTCCTTTTTTACACAATGCCTGTTAACCTTCTGAGGAGTTGGAGTTCGACAGGACATGTGCTGTAAGGACTGGATCTAATACCAGCTCCTCTTTTTCCATATGTGGAAGCTGAGGGCCAAAGCAATGAAGTTGTTTGCCTATGATCACAGAAATCCCATGCAGTAGAGCTGGGAATAAAACTATAGTTTTTTTCTTCTTCCTCACATGGCTTTATCGAAATTCATTCTCCTCCCAGACATCTCTAGGCATCATCAACAAGATAACAGCTACTAAGAGAAGGACTACTTAAAGAAAATCATGCTTTAAACAATATCCCACCAACATCGAAGGATTCTTTTACCCATGGGGTCCCACGACCAACTTATCACAGAGGAAGAATTGGGAGAACAGAGAAAGTCAGTTACTCAGAGGGGTAGCCTATGTTTACCCCTAAATGATTAGTTTTGAGACCAACTGAGATATTCTTAGACTCATCTTTCTGTCAGCCAAATCACAGACCATCACAAAATGACACCAAGAATACGAGTTATCTATTACTGCAAAAGAAATTATCCTGAAACCTAAAACAATAAACCTTTGTTGTGTCTTGGTTTCTATGGGAGTCTGGGAGTGGCTTAGCTGTGTGGTGCTGGTGCATTCTTTCGTGAGGTAACAGATAAAATGTCAGCTAGGGATGCAGTCATCAGAAGACTTGACTGGGGCTGGAGAATCTCCTCTCAAGGCAGCTCCTGCACAAACCTGGGAAGTCCATTCTGTTCCTTGCCATGTGGACTGCTTGCTATAGGTTGCTTGAGTGGCCTCATCACAGATATGGTGGTTGGCCTTCCCCAGTAACCTGGGAGGGGGGAGGGAAGAGGGGGAGGGGGAGGAGGACGGAAGGGGGCAGGGGGCCTTGGTGCTTTTAAGATCTAGTCTTAATTCTGCCATAGTCTATCTTTCTTTAGAAGTGAGCCATCATATCTCACTCACACTCAAGAGAAGAGTTACTTTCTCCCTTTTGAAGGGAGAAGTGTCAAAGAATTTGTGGACATATTTTGAAACCACAACACCAAGAAAGAGTTGCAAGGGGGCAGGATGCTAATTAAATGACAAACAACAAACAAACAATAAAGGCTGAGTGCAGTGGCTCATGCCTGTGTCCCACACGTTGAGAGACCTAGGTGGGAAGATTGCTTGAGGCCAGGAGTTTGAGACCTGGGCAACATAGGGAGACCCTCATCTTTAAAAAAAAAAGAAGAAAAAAAGCCAGGCACGGTGGCTCATGCCTGTAGACCCAGCTACTTGGGAGGCTGAGGTGGGAAGATAGCTTGAGCCCAAGAGTTTGAGGCTGCAGTGAGCCATGACTGTACCACTGCACTCCAGCCTATGTGACAGAGCAAGACCCTGTCTAAACAACAACAACAACAACAACAACAACAACAACAACAACAACAAAACCCAAGAAACCTTTTGAGGGTAAAAATCCAGCTAGGATAAGAACACATACTAAATAAAAACTCTGAAAGACACCAGGAATTTAAATTTACATGGGACTTGAAGCCCAACCTGAATCATTGGCATAAACATCCTTGAACTTCTTTTTTTTTTTTTTTTTTTTTTTTTTTTTTTTTTTTTTTTGAGACGGAGTTTCGCTCTTGTTACCCAGGCTGGACTGCAATGGCGCGATTTCGGCTCACCGCAACCTCCACCTCCTGGGTTCAGGCCATTCACCTGCCTCAGCTTCCTGAGTAGCTGGGATTACAGGCACGCGCCACCATGCCCAGCTAATTTTTTGTATTTTTAGTAGAGACGGGGTTTCACCATGTTGACCAGGATGGTCTCGATCTCACGACCTCGTGATCCACCCGCCTCGGCCTCCCAAAGTGCTGGGATTACAGGCTTGAGCCACCGTGCCCGGCCCTTGAACTTCTTTGTAAAACAAACTTCTGAATAAAAGAACTTCTGAGAGAAAAGTTCTATTGCTGGCACTGTGACTAGGGGAATAGATGAAGGATTTGAATCAAAGATAAGCAATTTGGAGAGCATATCCAATGTTTTGACTTGTATCCTTCCAAGTTAACTTTTCCTTTCTCAAGCCTTTCAATTTTCTAAATGTTGCAATATCCCAACATGACCAAAAGGGTCAAATTCCAGCTCTAGTCTTCAGAGTTCTTTTTTCTTCTGAAGGTTTATATTCATTTCCTTATGCTGTCTGAAAGCGAGATATCATGATCTAATTGCCTAAGAATTTATTTCCAAATAGTTGTTGACTGAGCCTGGAAGTCTCAGAAAGATCAGACAGGTCATACTCCTTCCTTTACTCAAGAGGCTTTTTTTTTTTTAATTAAAAAAAAATAAAAAAAACAACCAACAACAATTACGATCCCCAAAGAGTTTTCCTTTGTGGCACCTGGGGTATTCAGTCAATCAAGAAGCTTTCCTTGGACATATGATAGAGATGAGAGGTTCTCTAGGACTCATCTATTGGAAGCTAAATAGAAAACAGATGCAGTTAAATGCAATAACCACAAAAGTGGGACTGAGAAAGAGAGAGACAGAGGAATGGGGCTGAGGCTACGTCTAGGCAGTTATGTGCAATGAGGTGGATTTATTATGGAAAATGTTCCAGAAAAGATGAACTTAAAGCTATTCTAAATATTTGGTGGCAACTTGTGCAAAAGTTTAGAGAGAAAAGAATGAAGTCTGAATTTTTAGGCCATCAAAGAGATGAGCAAGGGGTGGGCTGGAATATAGCAGGAGATGAGACTGAAAAGGGAGGGTGGAGACAGTGATTAAGATGCATTTGAATAAACTGATCTGCAAAGAGTTTGGTATGGTTGGAGCAATTATAGGTTGGTGCAAAAGTAATTGTGGTTTTTGCAATTAAAAGTAACTGCAAAACCGCAATTACTTTTGCACCAAACAAATACTTTGCGAGAGGAAAAAGCTTTTTCAGTATGCTGTCTCTTCAATCAAACCAAAAAAAAGAAAAAAAAAGCCCAAACCAAAAAAATCTTTGCTCATTAAGCGACAAACCACAAGCTAGAAAGCTAGACCCTCCCTTGTAGGAAGATGTGGATTTAAGATCTTGCACCACCTTCATTTTTTTTGTTTTTTGAGATGGAGTTTCGCTCTTGTTGCCCAGGCTGGAGTGCAATGGCATGATCTTGGCTCACCACAACCTCCATCTTTTCTCTCTTAAGAAATTCAAGTGATTCTCCTGCCTGAGCCTCCTGAGTAGTTGGGATTATAGGCACCCACAATCATGCGCAGCTAGTTTTTGTATTTTTAGTAGAGGGAGGGTTTCACTGTGTTGGCCAGGCTGGTCTTGAACTCTGGACCTCAGGTGATCTGATCTGCCTGCCTCCTCTTAAGGGCTGGGATTACAGTGAGCCACTGCGCCTGGACGATCTTTCACCACCTTCTTGGGCAACATCCTATCACCATCAAGACTGAAGGTCAACCAACTGCCCGTGGAGGAAAGGCTTGAGAGAGGTCAGCAGCTAACTGATTCATTCATTCATTAATTCAATGAGCATGCAGTGAATACCTTTAGGTTTGAGAGGCAAGTAGGATTAAATATACTGTCCATGGGACTGGGACAAGATGGCAGCCAAGTCTTCATTTATCAGTGTAAGTTTCATCTTTCTCTTTCTCCATGTCATGGAAATTATTGAAAGATTTTTCAAAACGTTTTGATGAACATTTATTGTGATCCTTCTAGGTATATGTCAGGGACTATACTAGGTGCCAGGGATACTGAAATGACTGGAGCATCATTTGATAATGGTGACGATAAACTTACAGCCTAAATATTTCCTTTTCTGCTTCTAGTTTCCGCTGTGCCAAAAGGGTGAACTGTTTCTCCTGGAACGGAGTGGACAAATATGCAGCAGGTGAGCAGAATCATTTTGCTTTCCAGCTGTTGCACCAGCTGTGTCATGCTGACAGTGGCCTCCACCTGTCTAACTCCTGCTTCCACCAATTCAGAACCAAGATATTTTTATACTCATAACATGGTATAAACCAAGTGCTGATGGAAGTTCTTTGATGCTGAATTTGGAATCAAATACATTCTACTTTCTGGAAATCTACTTCGATAGCAACAGACACAAGATGTAAAATGCAGCAATGGTCAAGGAAGTTCTCAGGGGAGGAATCAGTCCTCTCATCTTGGTTGAGGAACCTTGGATACAGGGAGGATGAGGGACTGACTCAAAGTCATCTGGCAACTTAGAGGCGAAACCAGAGCTCCTCAAATCTCCTACCTCCGAATTCATCCTGTTTTTATTGAGCCAGTCATGACGTAACCCCCCAGATGAGTGCAGCTTTTAATCTCCCACATCAAGGGGCCTGCTGGCTGCCGACTCATGCATGCACCTCACGGTAGTTTCTGGGTGGTTGATGCTCATCACCCTCTGACTTCATTTCTTTTTTCCTTTGCAAAATGGCTATTGCCCAGAGGCAGCATCTCTTTTCTAAAAAGTGAACATGCCAGAAGGGTTTTTGGAAACTGCCTTGCTATCTGTCAGGAGCCAGATGATTCACAGGGATGAACCAATGCTCATAACAAGGGTACCTGGTTGGATTACCAATTAGCCACCTCCACCTCGGCAGGGTGGTTGGAAAGAAGAGAAAGGCAGTGTTTAGTTTGGGCAAATACCAAGAGGACTTATCGTTCTCATCAAGGCATCGGCACGGCACATCAGACCTCTTCCAAGCCATTCCATTGGAACTTCTCTCTACAAATGCTCTAGCAAGAGTAAACTTGTTATGCAAACATTGGATCATTGTATCTGAGTGACAGAAGCACCTCTGTGTCAGTGAAAGGGGAGAAACTGGCTGACTCACATCTGTTTTTAATGATGTCTCTGATGCTGGGAAAATATGGAAGCTGCAGGTAACATCTTCTCCTTTGGGAAAACAAAAAACAAACAAACAAAAAAACCAAGGCTGCCCTGGAATGTGTTAGCTTACCTTTACCGGATGGAAGCACCTCGGTCTGGGTAGGCCCTGGGAGGGATACGCAGACTTTTTCTCCATCTGGACCCAGCAAGAAGTGTCCCAGTGTGGGGTTGCTGGAATCTTCTTGAAAATAAGCACAAGCATAGGCGCTGTCAGCAGCATGCTGGTGAGGGAGACAGACTGAACCTAGGCCGTGTTCTCCTAGTTCCCTGCAGGCACACACCCACAGATACCTGTGTGCTTGGGTGTCCACCAGAGTATAGGGTGAGCCCTACTCCTGGGACTCAGCAGAGTGGGGCTGTTGTTCAGGCCCTGGCTTCCAAGGGTCAAAGTGGGGTGAACAGGGAGAGACTGCCACTTGCCTACATCATGTCTGGGGGAGAGCCCGGCTATCTCAGGGGCTGGGCTCAGAGAGGGGGCACTCTGTGTGAAGGAAAGGGAGCCCCTTCCTCCAGCTCTATATAGTCCAGCCCCTGGGTACAGGGTTTCCTGCTTCCTGCCTCTACTGCCCTGTTCAGTACTCAGCATACATGGCCATATGCTCTAGATGAAATACTGGGATGGCTTGGTGATGCCAGAGGCTCAGGTCAAGGAGGAGGATACTGTGTCTCTCTAGTTACTTAGAAAGATTGAAGGTGTTTTTATAACCTGACTATAAAAGTAAAAAACAAGTCATGGCCGGGCACAGTGGCTCATGCCTGTAGTCCCAGCACTTTGGGAGGCCAAGGTGGGCAAATCATCTGAGGTCAGGACTTCGAGACCAGCCTGACCAACATGGAGAAATCCTGTCTCTACTGAAAATACAAAAAAAGTTAGCCAGGCGTGGTGGCATGCACCTGTAGTCCAGCTACTTCGAGGCTGAGGCAGGAGAATTGCTTCAACCCAGGAGGCAGAGGTTGTGGTGAGCCAAGATCGCACCATTACAGTCCAGCCTGGGCAACAAGAGTGAAACTCTGTCTCAAAAACAAAACAAGTAATTTTTCCCCAACTCTAATTCCAATTTGCAACTCAGAACATTCCTGGTACTACATTGTGGGGGTTCCTCCATGCCAAGCAATTCTCCAGCAGATGCCAACTGGTTGTCCTATAATTTAATTCAGTTCTGACACTCTTTATCTGGAGATGGTGTCAGATTCCACAGGGCAGGGCTCAGTCCACAAGATTGCCCCCACTTCAGGTGCCAATTGCAAGTCCCAGATTGTGACCTGGACTTCTGACCAACCAGCTATAAATTGGGCCTTCCCCAATTGTACTTTGCCTTGGGTTCAACAATTTGGTAGGACAGCTCACAGAACTCAGGGAAACACTTAGCTTATATTTTCTGGCTTGTTTGTTTGTTTATTTATTTATTTATTTATTTATTTATTTTTAAAGAGATAGGGTTTCACCTTGTTGGCCAGTCTAGTCTCTAACTCCTGGCCTCAGGTGATCCACCTGCCTCAGCCTCCCAAAGTGCTGGGATTACAGCCATGAGCCACTGTGCCCAGCCTTTTCTGGCTTATTTTTAAAGGACATTAGAAAGGATATAGTGAACAGCCAGATGAAGAGATGGGCGAGGCGTGGGGAGGATGCACAGGGATTCTGTGCCCTCCCTGGGCCTGCTGCCCTCCCAGCATCTAGATGTGCTCAGCAGAAGCTTATCAACTCAGGTTCAACAGCTAATAAAGAGGTTGATCTCCAGTGCCCCCTCCCCTTTCCTGGAGGATGTGGCTAGAAGCTCCAATCTTCGAATCCTCTTATCACTTGGTCCTTCTGGTCACTGGCCCCATCAGAAGGCTACCTACAGGTCTTACCCTATGTCACCTCATTAGCATAAACTCAAGTGTTTTCAAAGGGACTTATGAATAACAAAAGATACTACTATCATTCAGAAAATTCCAGTTTTAGCTTAGGAATAGAAACCAGGGGCAAAGACCACATTTATTCATATTATACTACATTTACCTTTCCCATCTCCAAGACTAAGAGGCCAGGAGTCCAGCTACCTGGACTAGCAGACCACCAGCTAGAGTGGATGCTAAGGAGTGCACACATACACATGCACACTTACAAACACACGCACTGACATATTCACACAGGGGCACACACATAAATGTACACTCTCACAGGACAAGTATGCACACACACAGCTGCACACATGAACAGTGACATACGTGAACATGACACATTCATAGGACTGAATATATAGACATGCACGTGCATATGCAGACATGCATATATGGAGGTGCACAATGACACACACAGTTGTGCATGCATGCACACAAGCACGCACATGTACTCACATGGGCATATAAGCTCATATCCCACACACATTCACTTACACACATGCACACACCCAACACACACACTTGAGGCTTCAGGCTGCTCCCTTGTCACAGTCCTGGTCTTGCCTGGCGTTCTATTTTCACCAGATTCTCCCTTTATAAGGATGTCTAAAGTAGGTGTGAGTATCCATTTGCTGTGATTTGTCCCAGGCCAGGCAACTTCCTAGGAAGGCCCCAGGTGGGGACATAACAGCACATCAAGTTTCATTCATTTGCATCAAAAGGGCATTGCTGCCATACAAGTATAAAGGGGAGGGGATTGTGAAAGAGAGACTCCAACCCTGGAATGATTTCTAGGTGAAAACAACTTTCTAGGGATAGAGAGTGTTGGCGGGGGAAGGAAGGGTTTTAATTTTGCCCATCTCAGCCTGAAACAGGAACTGCAAACACAGAATGAAACCATTAATCTGTGAATTTAATTTATGCTTAAATAATTCAACTATATATGCTTTGGGGAGAGAATGAGATGGGGGTGTGCTGGGTCAGGGGAGAGAGAGAGAGAGAGAGAACAAGTGAGACTGACTTAAATACTGAGGCATTCTGTCCCTGAGTGATCATGAAATGAAAGATGTGAAATCTGTTGCCTCTGTGATGGCACTCTATTCCCATGTGCCTCTCAAAGTGTGAGTTTCTCACAGCCCTGAGTGTGATTCTGCTGTTAACAGAGATACCTCTTTATACAATCTGTCCCCCAAACACATGTCATCTTCATCTGGTGCTCAAACTGAGAAAGCAGCCCACGCCTTCAACGAAGGAGAAACAGCTGCCTGGACCACATGTTCCTGAAAATGGTCTCAGTCTCCAGCATGGCACCTTCCCAGGGATTTTCAGAGGTAACTTGGGCTCTTAGCAATTTTTGCTCTATGAGCTACCTTTTTTTAGATGGAAGCCCTGGGGCTGCTGTTGCACTGTCCTTGCATTATTGCTTTGTATACGCGTCTTACTCACCTCCTTGACTATCTGCTCCTTAAGGATAAGCACTTTTAGTGGGGCTAAATCCTAGAGGGAATGGCCTTGCCCTGGCTCACCCTACTACAAAAATCAGGGTCCTTTCCTCTCCATGAACAGGCGCTACCCTGGGTTGGAGTTGACTTCTGTCTGGGGACTCTTTTGCTGGCAGTGTCATTGGGCTCTCTTGCCTCAGGGGGCAAGGGCTATGGCTCAGTGTGGAGTATGCCTGGTAAATCCAGTAGCATGCCTCCTGCCAAAGCGCAGGGAGCTATGTCATCAAATGCTGCTGCCAGGAGTGAGGAAAGCACAAAACAGCATGGCAGTACATGTGGGTGCAGCAAACCCTTAAAACATGTACTGACCCTTTAGGAATATGCATGTGGATCATTAATCCCACTGACTCATCGGAAACAGTGTTGATTACCCCTTTCCAATGGAGTGCCTTTTAGAAAACTTATATCACAGCAGCCACGTGGCCCTGGAAATGAGCAACATACAGCCAATGGGGGGGCATCCATACACCCTGGGAATGATTACCTTGACCTGCTGGCAGTGCCTTCCCGGGTGCTCTCACGTTCGGGAGACTTGGGGGGCTGCTGTGGCCTGATGTCCTAGGGCTGTCCAGGCCCTTCTGGCTTGCAGGACTTTTTTTTCCTTTAATTGGGGGTAGAAGATCCAGTGGTGGGGTCACATTGTGGGGCGGGGCATCATCATCTTTAAAAACAAAAGGGGAAAAAGCGTGTGTAAGAAAATGGAATCAGCAGGAAGGAGAAGGAAACTCTCTTCTAACTTGGTTGATGGACCTCTGTAAAGACTGCCACGAAGAGCTGGTCAGTGTATTGTGGCTAGGAGGGAGAAACCAGAATGGTTTATTATTATTAATAAATCATCCTAACACCAGGATGGTTTATTCCACTCATTCTCAGGTTGTCTCACTTTTCCGGTCCTGCTTAGCAGCAGGGACCTGCCCTCTCCCATGGTCAAAATGACATGACTCTTGGCTAGAATCATGGCAGTTCATTTAGAAAATTGCCAAGAACTGGGAGGAACTGAGTGGTGATTGTTTTTATTCTCATCTTGTGGATGAAATCCTGAGATGTAAGGAGTACTGGAGAGGCTGCCAACTGCTTCCACCCCCAGTCTGAAGGCTATGACTAGGGAGATCTCAGCTTTAGAGCTGATGAGATTGTTGGATACAGATTTCTGACCGCAAAGCAGTTTTGCTAGGTAGAGTCGATGATCACATTCCCTCCTCAGGGTTAAAGTACAAGGTGCTACCTTCCAGATGGAAGTCAGAGGGTATCAGGATTGATGGTAGCGTTCCATAAAGCACACTCTACCCTCTCTCTCTGTTTTCTCCTCTAACACCAACAGGGCCTGCTCTAGGAAGGCTGAAACCCAGGAACCTAAGTGACTGAGGCGTTGGCTTCATCTCTTTCAGTGAGAGAAATCTTTATTTCACTTCTTTCTGAGGGTGTGGTCTTTATTTTACATTTAAAACAACAGTTGCTATTAATATTTGGGTTTAAACGTTGGCTTCATGTGGTCTCAAATTATCACAGACTACTTATTTATTAAAAAGAGGCAAAGTGTCTTTACATGGGGAAATGGGGCAGACATCACCTTTAACCAAATAATAAAATTGAACATCACCTACAATGGAACAAACTGACATTTTGCATCCCTATGAAGGGCTGAGAAGGACACATCAGCTCTCTGATATTTCTGCCCAAAATGTCTGAGATGAATCTCATTATGAGGAAATAGAAAAATCCAAATTGAAGATAATTCTGCAAAGCAACTGATCTGTCTTCTTCAAAAATGTTGATGTCATGAAAAACAAGACTGAGGAACTCTTCTAGATGAAAAAATTCTAGAGAGGGACCACTAAATGTAATGCATGATCCTGAGGTTAAATTCTAGGTTGGAAAAAAAAAGCTACAAGGAACATTACTGGTATAAATAGAGAAATGTGACTATGAATTAGAAATTAGAAAGTACTGTAACACCAGTGTTTGCTTTCTTTTCTTTCTTTCTTTTTTCTTTTCTTTTTTTTTTGAGATGGAGCCTCACTCTTGTTGCCCAGGCTGGAGTGCTATGGCACAATCTTGGCTCACTACAATCTCCGCCTCCTGGGTTCAAGCGATTCTCCTGCCTCAGCCTCCTGAGTAGCTGGGATTATAGGCATGTGCCACCACACCCAGCTAATTTTTGTATTTTTAGTAGAGATGGGGTTTTACCATGTTGATCAGGCTGGTCTGTAACTCCTGACCTCAGGTGATCCGCCCGTCTTGGCCTCCTGAAGTGCTGGTACTACAGGCGTGAATCACCATGCCTGGCTCAACCTGCCTCTTTAGATCCCTTTCTTTCTGCATCTATTCCCAGGTTCAGTCACATGCATAATTTATGCCAAGGGGCTTCTGAAACCAGTTTCCTCCTGGCAGAGTGGCAGAGGAGGGACAAGTTTTGGTACAGTAGAAGATGAGCAGTATGGAAGATGAAATTCGCTGGTGTCGTTTGTCTTGTGGCTCTGGCTGCACACCTGGTGTTGTGGCTCACAAGTAGAAAGGTGCTTTTTTTCTGTTTACAGAGTGATCCTTGCCCATATTTGGATTTTTTAAAAAGGAAACACTAAAGTCTTTAGGATAATTAACTCCCACTTAAGAGAGAGACCAAATAAACCTCTGCCTCAGTAATCAAAGGACATTCTCAGAACTTAAATGTTTTCATCATTTGGTTAATTCTTTTATTCTTTTTTATTTTTTTGGGTATTAGTTAGAAAAGTCACTATGCTGGGTTTATTCTGAAAGGGAATGTAGTATGATGAGTTAGAACATGGGTTCTGACATTAGAAGCCCTGAGCTCCAATCCTAGTGAGATTCCAATCCTAGTGAGCTCCACTCCACTTACAGTTATGTGACATCAAACAATTACTTATCTCTCAGGGTTGGTTGCCATTTTCTGATCTGTAAAAGGAGGAGAGGGTTGTTGTGAGGAGTACCTGAGAGAGTACATGTAAAAACTGAGTGCCTGACACAGAAAAAGAACTCCATACAAATTAATGTGCATCCACCTATTTCTGATACCAGTAGTCAGAGGTCATTGACAACTGTGATATTGTCATCTTGCACATGCCTTTTGGAAAGGAGACTCAGTTTTCTGAAAATAGGGAGCTTTCTGAATATGGCCTGTTACTTCCAACCTATCTAACACATAAACACAAACACTTAGATGTACCCATGTGTATAATTTCAAATGTCCACATGTTGTGGAAATTGGAGTGAATACTTTTATCAATATTATGGGCTTTTTTTTTTTTTTTTTTTTTTTTAGACAGGGTCTTGCTCTGTTGCCCAGGCTGGAATACAGTGGCAGAATCTCAGCTCCCTGCAACCTCCGCCTCCCAGGTTCAAGTGATGCTCGTGCCTCAGCCACCGGAGTAGTGGGGATTACAGGCATGTTGCCACCATGCCTGGCTAATTTTTTGTATTTTTAGTAGAGAAAGGGTTTCGCCATTTTGGCCAAGCTGAGCACTCCTGACCTCAGGTGAATCTCACCTGCCTCAGCCTCCCAAAGTGCTGGGATTACTAGCATGAGCCACTGCATCCAGCCAATATTATAGACTTTTTAATGAATAGATAGATGTTTATAAACTGATTAGAAATTACATTTCATTGTTTAAAAATACAGGACAAATTATAAGGCATGCAGCAAATTTTTGGTAAGCTTGATGCTGTTTTTTTTGTTTTCTGTTTTTTCTTTTTTTTTGAGACAGAGTCTCGCACTGTTGCCAGGCTGGAGTGCAATGGCACGATTTCAGCTCACTGCAACCTCCGCCTCCCAGGATCAAGTGATTCTCCTGCCTCAGCCTCCTGAGTAGCTGGGATTACAAGCACTTGCCACTGTGCCTGGCTAACTTTTTGTATTTTTAGTAGAGATGAGGTTTCACCATGTTGGCCAGGCTGGTCTTGAACTCCTGACCTCGTGATCTGCCCAACTCAGCCTCCCAAAGTGTTGGGATTACAGGCGTGAGCCACCTTGCCTGACACTTGATGCTGTTTTACATCTGCAATCAGAAAATATAAGTAGTAAGTTAGGGATATTAGTAGTGAGTAACTTAGTAGTGAATGAGTTAGGGAGTAAGGAATTGGTGAGTTGGACACTTCACTTTGGTGAAGGCAGCTGCTGTCTGAACAAAGGCCATCTTTCAGTGGTTGCTGGTGAACTAACCTCCCTTCCAGCCTCCTTTTCCTTGGCTGTGGACCCTTATGTGTCTTGCCTTGCTTCCCTTCTGAGTGAGGTTCCTGAGGGATGCTGGAGGGAGGGAGGAGCTACCTTGAGGTGAGAGTGAGTCCCTTCCTGTGTCCACTGGGAGATGCACCGTTAGCTCCCTTGGCTTTTCTAAGGACACATGCTTCAGGGGCAGTTTCCATACAGGCCTGGCCTCTTCGCTTATTTCTGGTTCTGACTCAGGGTGTACAGCACCTAGGAGACAGAGAGGAGACCAAGTTGTAGCAGGGGTCTGTTGTTTTTGCCTAATGTCTCTTCTTTTGGGGACCTATCCCTTCCCTGCTCACACCATGTGGTTTGGGTGGAGCAGTGTCCACTTGCTGATTCCAGAGAGGGGCATGAAGGAACTGAAGCCTGGTATGAGTACCTCATTGCCTTAGCCATAGAGATTGCTTCCGGGGTGGGCACATGACCCAAGCCCAGTCAATCGGATGATTTTTGCGCTTTGCAAGAGCTTTTAAGAGGCATATCCTTTCTATAAAGGTTAACAGGAAGGAAATTAGCATGGAATTTCTAGAAGACATCTTTATCACCTGATTGTAAGAGCCTGCTTGAGAGGAAAAACTAACAGAGTTGAGAGACCAGTACGGCACACATATTTTCTGAGGCCTGGATTCAGCTGGTCCTGCAGTTACCTGATTCTTGCATGAACAAATTCCTTCCTTCCTTCCTTCCTTTTTTCCATCCTTCCCTCTTTCCTCCCTTCCTCCCTTCCTTCCCCCTCTCCTCCTCTCCTCTCCTTCTTCCCTTCCTTCCTTCTCATTGCTTCCCCTCTTCCCCTCTCTCCCTCTCTCTTCCTCCTCCCTCCCTCCTCCTCCCTCCCTTCCTGTCTTCCTCCCTTCCATCTTTCCTTCCTTTTTTGCTTAACGCAATTTGAGTTAGGCTTCTGATGCTTTTTAAATGAGAGTCCTCATGACATGTAAATGAGGGAAGAACTCCATGGATTCACTTTTTCCCCCCACCCTCTGTTGCCCAGGCTGAAGTGCAGTGGCACAATCTTGGCTTACTGCATCTTCCACCTCCCAGGTTCAAGCAGTTCTCTGCCTCAGCCTCCCGAGTAGCTGGAATTACAGGCGCCTGCCACCGCGCCTGACTAAGTTTTTTGTATTTTTAGGAGAGATGGGGTTTCACCATCTTGGCCAGGCTGATCATGAACTCCTGACCCCATGATCCACCTGCCTCAGCCTCCCAAAGTGCTGGGATTACAGGCGTGAGCCACTGCGTCCAGCTGGATTCACTTTCTTTGTACCCAATTCCTCTTTTTCATTGTCAGTGTGTTGGTAAGCTCAGTGCCTCTGGCTTTAAGAATCTGGTTCATGATGGCCTGGTGGTTTTCCTTACCTTCCTATCAGGGTCATCATGGAAAATAATCAGATCTAACCCAATCTTGTGAATAGTCTTGTCTCTCTTTGTGTTAAGTTTATCTTTTTATTCTAATGCTTTTATGTCTGGGACCTGACTGTCCCTCCCAGGGCTGGCCAATTCCTAGAGAGAGTAAATGACTTACCTGGGAACATATTTGTCATATGCACCCCAACTAACCCAGAGTTCCTAACCCCCAGCGACCTCCTTTATCGAACTCTTACATTCCCAGGCTACTATCCACCTGCTGTAATGATGAGAGGACCAGTACCAGACAGCAAGGGACAGCTCCTATGCTACAGAGCTGGCTGAATTATGCAAACTAGGCAATTACAAATCTGCTTAGCTTACTTGCTCTGCCTTGTCCATATTCCTTCTACAAAAACCGCAATACAGCCTCTTGCCTGTGCTTCCTGCCTTCTGCCTCCTGGAGGCTGGTGCACCCCCACGTGGCCCTGCATGGTGTGGCATGCCTCCTCCCCTTGGGAACTGTGAGTAACAAACTAACTTTTCAGTGCCAACTGTCTCCTTATCTCTTGGCCTCACCACACCTGAATAATAAGACCTACATTTAAAAACAGTGTGTTATTGATTTTTTTTTTTTTAAGGAGCAGAGTAATTTTTTTTGTAAGGTAAAATCTACATATGGTGAATTGTACAGATCTTAAATGTACAGTTAGTGAGTTTTGACAGATTTGTAATCTGCAAAACCAACCCAGAGTGAGAACATTTTTATCACCCCAGAAAGTTCCTTCATGCCCCCTTCCATTGTTCTTTGAAGTTCAACCGTTAGGTGTTCTTTTTTCTAGTGAGAAGTCCAAACGGCTTTAGAACAAAATGGCTGTCTGGTGTGATTCTTAGGAGTCAAACTCTCTAATAAGCCAGTGACAGTCTCTAGAAAACTCAGACTAGAATCCCTGTCAAAACTAGGATACCTTTTGCCTCAGAGATTCCAGAGAAGTCCCCAGAGCAAGAATGTGTCTTAAGAGTACTATGGAATGACAGGAAGGTCAGAGTTTCTCCTTGTGACACAGGGTGAGAAGTCACTTAGAAGCCTCCCCTAAAAAGCCCACATCCACAATTGGAATTGATCTTCCTTGCTCATATTCTCTTAGAACTTTACTTAGAAGCACATAATCTCTACCCTGGCAAAGATTGTAGAGGTCATCCCTTACATAATAACCTAATTCAAAATCAGAAAAATGACTTTTTGGATGAACTTTTATCTTTCTTTTATAAAATGAAGATGCAGAGATTTTCAAGTGTCCTTCTTACCTTGGCTGCCAGGAAACTCAGCTAAATCCAATGCTTACCTCAAACCATGAATTCATCTTAGATATCTGATAACATCTATTTCTCTACTACTTTTGACCAGTTTTTTTCAATGTCAATTTTAGTTGTCTTGTTTTATATATTTAGTTTTTTGTAGGCTGCCTGAAAAATTCTTGCCCTTTTATAACACCTATGATGTGTTGGACTTACTTATGTATATGCCTGTCTTCCTGTCTCTTCCACAGCTTAATAAAATACATTGCTTAATGAAGGGTATAATAAATATTTTAAAAATCCAATTGAATATGATCAGAAGAGATCTTCTAGATTTTATCCTTTTTCCTTTTTTAAAATTATTCTCTGAAGGGGATGACCATAGGGAAGGTCAGCCATGATGTAGGAGCATGTAGAATTGGCAGGACTCCCCCATCCCAGGCTCTCAGGAGCATCCATGCACCCAGGACCTACCTCTTCTGTGGGCTTTTTCTTCTAGTGGGTGTTGGGTATGGTAATGAATCTCCACTGGGAAGATGAAGAGCTCTGTTGGGGGCTCATTGGTTTTAAATTGGCTCTTCAGGGGCTCCAAGACTCTGGGTGATTCTTCTGAGAGAGGAGGTAATTTCAAAGCCTTTGGTGCCTGGAGAAAATTTAAAAACAAAGCGAACATGGCAGGTATCCAAACCCTGCTTCCTGCAGGGGCAAATGATACTGTCTCTTATTGTATCTCTTGCACCAGGAGCTGCTGAGAGAGGTAAGCTAATCCAACTGGGAGCCGGTATCTGACTTCAGTGGTGCCACTCGGTCTCCTGGGATCCAGCATATGCTCCTGTTAGTCCTGACTGGGATTCATCTGAGAATTATAAACATGCTCAGTTTAAGGGCCTTTGGGAGGATATATAGTCTTTCTTTTCCTTGCAGCTGGGGAAACTGAGCTGGACTAAAATGACATAGCTGAGACCTCTTTGTACTGATTGGGAGAAATCTCAGCATATGTTGTTAAGGGACAAAGCAAGGTACAGAACACTGTTTGAGCAAGATTTCCTCTAAGAAGGGGCAGGAAAGAGCATTTGTGATTGCTGACCTTATCTAAGCTCTCTAAGCCACAATTTCTTCCCCTGTAAAATAGGAGTAATCATACTATCTACCTCATAAGGTTGTTGTGAGGATTAATGAGCTAATATATCCAATATAATATGTTTGAATCTAGGATTATTTCCTTATGTCTTTGAGAGTAGACTCTCCTCTCACTAGCATTTATCTAGCCACTAGCAGAAAAATTGAGGCTTTTTCATACTTATCAAATATGAATATAACTGACAAATAATTTCTGTGTGTCAGAATCAGCAGCTAATTTGGTCCAGTTTTTTTTCTGCCCCCAAAAAGTGTGTGTGTGTTTGTGTGTGTATGAGGGATTCACTGGGGTATTAGTAAGAACCTCCTGTTTCCGATTATTCAGAGATTGCTGAAGATTTCTCCTTTTAGTTTGCAACTTTTAACATATGAACTTGGCTCTATGAAATGTATACTTGTGCTGGTTTCAGGAGTTCAGATTCATAGGAGGAAAAATAAAAGCATCAGGTCTGCTGTTTGCTCCTGGTCCAAAGAAATCTGGGAAGTCAGATACCCTTCTGGTATCTCCTTTTTAGTACTAAAAAAAAAAAAAAAAAAAAAAAAAAAAAGATCAGAAGCATACATAAGCAACCTATTTGATTGAGGGAGGAAATTTAGCGAAATCTATGCAGGCTAATATTTATAATTTTGAGACATTAAGAAAACGATTAACCAAACACACGCACATAGGATCTTTATGTTCCTGGAGACCTTCACTGTCCAGGTGCCAGCTGCCCACCAACTGCCCTCTTTTGAATACTGACCTTGTGCATTTTGTTTGACAAGGTTTGCATTGAGAAATCAATGTGGAAACTCAAATGATTTGTGTGAGGTATGGCTGACAAGCCAAGACTTAATTTCTTTATCCTAATTAAAAATTTACAGAGTTTTAATATGGTGGAAAATATTGCTTTCCTCTATGAAACCATTTGCATGGGTTGAGGGAAGGAACTCCTTTCCTCTGGGCTTGGCTCAGTTTTGGGCTGACCCAGGAGTGAAGTTGAGGGCTTTCCTTAGGCTTGTGGTGAGCTTGGTAGATCAGGCCTGCTGTTCCCTTCTGCACCAAAGGAACCTGGAAAGACAGAGGCCCTTCTGGTGTGGATGGAAAGGTTTAGATGAACGTAGAGACAGAACATCTGAGAAAATCTTGAACAGACTCCCTCACTGGCACCCGGACCACCTGGAGTGCTCATGGCTGCTTCAGGGCCATTTCAGATGACATGAATCCCTACAATTAATCAACATTGCTGTAGATCACAGTCGGATACAACATGCTTTTCTAAAAGCACCTCATCTCATCCTTCTCCTATTCCTGAAAGGTTAACATCATTATCTGTATACACAGATAAAGTCACTGTGCTCAGAGCATGTGAGTGACTTGCTCACGTTCCCATAGCTACTATGGGCAGAACATTCTGGATCCCTTACTTGTCCCCATTTATCATTGGTGCCTCCAAAAACTGAATCAAGACCCACATAGAACTGCAAGGCAGGACCGGGCCAGAGACAGACAAGGACATCTCTAAAAAAGAAGATGTAATTGGCCCCTGAAGGAGGCTGATAAACTTGCAAAATTTCCCCTGCATTTTCAAAGGTGGTAGAGCCAAACTGCTGCACGATTCAAGATCTCCAGCATTTTGAATCTGAAGTGGGTTTACGGCTTATAAACTCAGGTTCTGTTCTTTAATATGTTTACAGATAATCCCCAGCCCCTTAAGAAATCAAAGGATTCTGTTGCTGCTAGGGAGTGTGGTAATAACACATGCTTTAAGGTAGAATTGGTGGCAGCTGAAATTCCTTGCACTTCATGATTTTCAACCTTTATTAAATTACTACAGCTCTATCCCAGCTCCACCTGGTCTAGAGAGGCCAATTCTTTCTTGAGACATTCTTTTGAGTCACCTTATTTCTAGATTGGGATTAATCTCTCTCTCTCCCTGTCCCTGTCTCTCTCTCGTGCATGCACAAACATACATATACGTACAACCTTCTTCTTCTTTGCTTCTTCAGGGGTGTTTATTCCGGAGCCAGTGGCAGTTACTACAGGAGGGAAGAGGCATCTTTCAGCAGGAAGCTCCTGTAACAAGTGGCCGATTCTGGCCTTGTGGAGTTTCACTTCCCTTTGTTTATCTTTAAACACAAGATGAGAATTAGAATTTATTAATTGCAGTTATGGGATGAACAGTTGAGTTTTGACTTTTATCACGTTGTGGTTAATGCGGAGAAAGGCACGGAGAGTGCTGGGGCACTGGGACAGCCCTAGCTCTGGGGGAGACAGGTTCAGGGAGCCTCAGTCTCCTGATCTGGGTTGAATACTTGTTGGCTGAGTCAGGTGGTGAAGAGAATGATGACAATAATAATTAATATGTATTGAGCTCTAGATGTGGGGAAAGAATTAGGTAGAATATTTTATATACATTAACTCAATTTCCACAATAGCTTTATGGGGTTGTTATCCCCATTCTACAGATGAGAAAACTGAGCATCAGCAATATTGGTTAATATGCCCACAATCACAGCTGTAAGTGGGGGCAACTTGAGCCCAGACAGTGTGATTTCTGAATGATGCAGCTAAGCACTAGGCAAAGAGGCAGCTGCCAGAGTCTCATTCCCATGTCCAGCTAGATTCTGGCTTTTCTCTTTTTTAATTTTGAGACAGAGTTTCACTCTTGTTGCCCAGGCTGGAGTGCAATGACACGATCTCGGCTCACTGCAACCTCTGCCTTCTGGGTTCAAGTGATTCTCCTGCCTCAGCCTCCTATCTGGGATTACAGGTGCATGCCACCATGCCCAGCTAATTTTTGTACTTTTAATAGAGACAGTGTTTCACCATGTTGGCCAGGATGGTCTCGATATTTTGACCTCCTGATCCGTCCGCCTCGGCCTCCCAAAGTGCTGAGATTACAGGCATGAGCCACTGTACCTGGCCTGGCTTTTATTTTCTAAGGTGAGTGGCACAAGGAAGTGATGTTCAGGGTGCCTCAGTGTCCTCAAATGAACTCTGCATGACTGGATTCACCCAGACCAATGAGCAAGACATTTGGGCTCTTACCACTGAGATCTGCCTTCCTTTTGGGGAAGGCGCCTCCACGGAAGGTAATGTGGGATTTGTCACTCGGGAGCCAAGAGTGATCCATGTGGCCATGCCCAAAGGCCTTCCTGAAGGTTTGCTGTGTTTTTTCATTGTAGCTTTCCTTTGAAGCATGTAAACGAAGGTGATTCTCTATTGACGTGTCCTAGGGAACGACAGATACACATTCCTGTAAACAGGCTGTCATAAAGGGGCAGAGCAGATTTCTTTAACAGTTAGGTCCTCGTAGCTAAGCTTGTGGTTTCAAGGGTGGAATTTCTTTTGCAGATTGGGGAGAAAAATAAGGTTATAACAGCAAGCTCCCTGATGCTGTTTATTACAATAAAACATTTTTTTATTAATGATAGAATGATACTTAGCCATGCCTGACAGATAGTGCTATCTTGTGAAAAAAAATTAAAATATTTTGACTAAAAATCAAAATAAAGTGCTAGTATTGGTGTCTTCATCTGTCATGAAATGTTTCTCAGGCTGAAGGCAGTGGCTCACACCCGTAATCCTAGCACTTTGGGAGGCCGAGGCAGGAGGATTGCTTGACCTTGGGAGTTTGAGACCAGCCTGTGCAACATAGTGAGACCCCATCTCTACAAAAATTTTTTTAAAAAATTAGCCAGTCATGGCGGCACAAACCTGTAGTCCCAGCTACTCAGGGGGCTGAGGCAGGAGGATTGCTTGAGCCCAGGAGGTAAAGGCTGCAGTGAACTGTGCTAGTGCCTCTGTACTCCAGCCTGGGCAACAGAGCAAGATCCTGCCACCCTCCCCCTGCAAAAGAAGAAGTGTTTCTTCCTTCTGCCTTTCCATTCTGTGGCTCTTGATCTCCTTGGCATATGACCTTCTATTAAGTCAAATGAGTTTATTCAGGATGGGAGCAGATGTTGTCTATGTTGCTCTGAACAATTGTTACCTTGTACACACACACACACACACACACACACACACACACACCCTGCCTTAGAGTTTAGAAAATGTTTCTACATTGTAACTCATTTAATCCTCACAATAATCTTGTGAGACATATGATAATAGCTTCATTTTACAGAAGAGGTTAACTCAGGCTCAAAGTTACAATTCTTGGACAGGCTCATCACAACTAGCAAAAAGCAGGACCCAAACCAAAGCTTTTCTGAGTCTAAGGTAGTAGCTGTTTTCCAAATAAGATTAACAGCTGCCAAGATGGGCAAAGAGTCAGGGGAGAATCTGTGGTTACATAAGTTTGGAAAACCTAGAGTTTAACCAAGTTAAGCTGGTGACTATGTTACAGAGCTTCTTGAAGCCCTCTGTATCTAACTACCCATGTGACTTTCCAGGAGGAGAAGATATGCAGCACTTCTCCAGCGTGTTTGCCTATGAAACTGTTATTTCTTTATTTAGAGTCAGAGTTTTGCTCTGTCACTCAGGCTGGAGAGCAGTGGCATGATCTTGGCTTACTACAACCTCCTCCTCCTAGGTTCAAGCAATTTTCCTGCCTCAGCCTCCTGAATAGCTGAGATTACAGGTGCCTGCCATCATGTCTAGCTAATTTTTGTATTTTTAGTAGAGATGGGTTTCACCATGTTGGCCAGGCTGGTCTTGAACTCCTGGCCTCAGGTGATCCACTTGCTTTGGTTTCCCAAAGTGCTAGGATTACAGGTGTGAGCCGCTGCACCTGGCCAGAACTTTTTAAAATGGAGCGTCTTGCAATGCTAGAGTTCCATAAGTGACACTTCAGGGAAATGATGGTCAAAAAGGTCAAAGTACTCTTCCCTTCTCTGGAGCTCTCAAGAAATGGCAAATGGAGAGAGAATCCTCTCTGTAGTCAAGAACAATGATAGAGGAGAGCCCATTAGAAGTGGTACCTCTGGCCAGGCGTGGTGGCTCATGGCTGTAATCCCAGCACTTTGGGAGGCTGAGGTGGGCGGATTACCTGAGCTCAGGAGTTCGAGACCAGCCTGGGCAACATGGTGAAACTCCATCTCTACTAAAATACAAAAAGTTAGCCAGGCCTGGTTGTGCTTGCCTGTAGTCTCAGCTACGTGGGAGGCTGAGGCAGGAGAATCGCTTGAACCTGGGAGTTGTAGGTTGCAGTGAGCCGAGATCATGCCGTTGTACTCCAGAGTGGGCGACAGAGTGAGACTCTATCTCAAAAAAAAAAAAAAAGAAAGAAATGAAATAAATGGTACTTTTGCCTGTGTTTTATCTTCCAGCCAGGGCTGCTTCCTGAGTGGTAGCAAGCGAGTCCCCTGACGGCCCTGGTTCTTAGCTAGAGGGTCCTGGTCCAGGTGTCCAGCAGCTTCAGCTTCCCCTTCATCCAGGCCCTGTTGACCTGCAAAGGTGAACAGTGGGTCAGCTTGTCACCCCCGAAATGGATATGGTGTTCTTGCTGCCTGCAAACTGCCTCCCTTTTTGCTTCTCTTCTCTGAGTGAAAGTGCTCAAGGCCTTCCCTTTCTCTCCCTCCTCCCTTATTTCTGTATTTCTGATGGTGCCTCCTTGGAAGTGGCAGCCAGATTTCTGGAAACAGCTGCACTAGCATTCAGTAGGCTCAGGGGCGAGTCTTCATTTCTTGGACACAGTTTCCCCATCTATAAAATGGGGATACAGATTTCTTGCCCTTATTTCCTTGTAGAATTATCTGGAACTCAAATAAGATAATGTCTCCCTTTGTAAACTGTGAGGGATTAGTGGATGACAGTGGTGTGATTATGGTGGTATGACGTGCAGTCTGCTCTGTTGTCATGGAGGGCTCAGCCTGAAGCAAGCTCTTGGGATTCCTGGGCTGTCTCCTGGCTATTTACTTGTGGAAAAGCCTCTGCTGAATGCACTGAGTGGGACTGCTGTTTAGCTCTCTGAACTTATACTGTCTGCAACCCTTAGGAAGGATCTGAGTCAACAAATGACTCCAACATAGTTAATGAATCTTTCATCAATGGTTTAAGGGGTCCTGCAGCTGTTTTCATCACTTTCTCAAGGTAGATTTATTGCTGAAACAGTCTGGCACAGCTTCCTTGTTTGGAGCCAAGCTTTAGCAATACCTTTATTCCCAGCATGTGGCTCCATGGAACAATGTGGGGTTGTCTTTCAGCCAGGGGCTCTGGAAGCCTTCGGGGGCTTGTGCGTGATGGAGCATAAGACTTCTGGGAGCTGCTCCTCTTCTGCCTCCAGCAGCCAGCCTCAACTTCCTTCTCTGCTCCCCCTCATTATTTCCATCCTTGGTGTCATTGGGCCAAGAGTTAATTGCCCACAGGTTGGGCTACTCCAGCCCTCCTTTTTTTTTTTTCTTAGTAAACATCATCATTTGATTCTCCTTCCTTTGCCCACTGGCTCCTGGAGGCTGTGCTGGATGTGAACTGAGGCTGAGTGTTGGTGGAAGAAATAATAGGCTCAGGCTTAGGTTCAGGTTTACAGGGTCTGCTCTGGTTTTAGTGGCCCAGGGAAGTCTAATGGGCTGGGGACTCATTAATATGAGGTGACTTGGGGCTACATTAGGCCTGCTCCTAAGAGGACCTCAACTTCATACAGACTGCAGCACTAAAGACCTGGGATATTCTAGAATGAGTCCTTGTAGAATGATTCCTTGGGGTCAAACCAGACACTAACTAGGTCCATCTTCCTGGTCAGATTCACCTGGAACCAGATGCATGTCTGAGGTTGGAGGAAGTGAAATTCTAGCCAAGTGGCCACTTACCTACTGAATAGTCTTTTTTTTTTTTTTTTTTTTTTTTTTTTTTGTGGGGTTGGGGGACGTAGTCTCACTCTGTTGTCCAGGCTGGAGTGCAGTGGCGTGATCTTGGCTCACTGCAATCTCCACCTCCAGGTCCAAGTGATTCTTCTGCTTCAGCCTCCCAAGTAGCTGGGATTACAGGCATGGACCACCACACCTGGCTAATTTTTGTATTTTTTTTTTTTTTTTTTTTTGAGACGGAGTTTCGCTCTTGTTACCCAGCCTGGAGTGCAATGGCGCGATCTCGGCTCACCGCAACCTCCGCCTCCTGGGCTCAGGCAATTCTTCTGCCTCAGCCTCCTAAGTAGCTGGGATTACAGGCACGCACCACCATGCCCAGCTAACTTTTTGTATTTTTAGTAGAGACGGGGTTTCACCTTGTTGACCAGGATGGTCTCGATCTCTCGACCTCATGATCCACCCGCCTCGGCCTCCCAAAGTGCTGGGATTACAGGCTTGAGCCACCGCGCCCGGCAATTTTTGTATTTTTAATAGAGATGGGGTTTCACCATGTTGGCTGGGCTGGGTTTGAACTGCTGACCTCAAGTGATCCACCTACCTCAGCCTCCCAAAGTGTTGGGATTATAGGCATGAGCCACCGTGCCCAGCCTGAACAGTTTTACACATTGGGTATCTAAGTTGGGGCAGGGGCATTGTGAAGTAGGGGGATACAGAAACAATCTTTCCTTTGGTGATATCCCAGATGAGTTTGAATTTGTGACTCAATCAGTGCAAGGGGAAACAAGAATTCCTCTCTTAGTAAGCATCATCATCTGATTCATTTATCTGTGCTTAATAGAAACAGGTTTGCAAGCAAAGTATTGGAAGCTTTAGTTGTTGAAAGGAGACCACAAAACTTAGTCTCTCTGTATCTCAAATATGGATTCAGCTAATCCAGATAATGTGCATTGGAGTAGCTCTGTCCTCTCCTGTGATTTTTTTCACAAACAACCCAGGGAGGAAGGAGTGCAGACTTCAGTATTTACATTTTACAGATGTGCAAACTGAAGATGCAGGGAGCTTAAGTGACTTGGCCAACATCACGGTGTTGGAGGACAGGGGATTTGTAGCTGGGACTTTTGCTGCTGCTTCAGATAAAGTGTCAGGCAAAGAGTGGGAAGCCAGTGGAAGATAAGGTTCAAACAAATGAAAACATCAGTCAGCGTTCAAGTTACAGCCACTGAACTATTTTTGCTTCTTTTTTTTTTTTTGAGACGGAGTTTCGCTCTTGTTACCCAGGCTGGAGTGCAATGGCGCGATCTCGGCTCACCGCAACCTCCGCCTCCTGGGTTCAGGCAATTCTCCTGCCTCAGCCTCCTGAGTAGCTGGGATTACAGGCACGTGCCACCATGCCCAGCTAATTTTTTTGTATTTTTAGTAGAGACGGGGTTTCACCATGTTGACCAGGATGGTCTCGATCTCTCGACCTCGTGATCCACCTGCCTCGGCCTCCCAAAGTGCTGGGATTACAGGCTTGAGCCACCGCGCCCGGCCTTTGCTTCTTTTAAAATAGATTTTTTTGGCTGCTGTGATTATGGGCAGTTGGGCATTACAATTAGTAATTATGCTTAAAACACAAGCTAAGGAGGCATCATGAACATTTATTGAGCACTTAGTATATACCAGCTTCTATTAATACATTATCTTATTTAATTTAATTCCCACATGCAACCCTGTGAGATAAAGATAGGTATGGTCATCTCCATTTTATAAATGAGGAAACTGAGGCCCAGAGTGGCTATATGGCTTGGATTCAGTGCAAATGGCCACATGTTTAATCACTATTCAATACAGCCTCTTTGTTTTCTGCCTGATTGTGACAGCTCCTTGGTATATGGCGTCGATTAGGAAAGTCACTTTATTCCTCAGGTGTGCAGTGTTAATCCACCCATAAAATGAAAGTTCTGAGGCTGAGCACAGTGGCTCACACCTGTAACCACAGCACTTTGGGACGCCAAGGTGGGAGGATCACTTGAGAAAGGAGTTTGAAACCAGCCTGGGCAACATGGCAAGACCACATCTCTACAAAAAATATAAAAATTAGCTGGATGTGATGGTGTGCTCCTATAGTTCCAGCTCCTTAGGAGGCTGGGCGGGAGGATTGCTTGAGCCCAGGAATTCAAGGCTGCAGTGAGCTGTGATCACGTGGCTGCACTTCAGCCTGGGTGACAGAGCAAGAACAAGAGCTTGTCTGTAAAACAAAAACAAAAAAAGAAAAAGAAAAAAAAAAAAGACTCAAGTGAGATGTGTGGTCAGTTGAAATGTTTAATGACCCCAGGCTCTAAGAACCTGCCATATTCTTCTCTATTCATTCAATAAACCAGATTCTCTACTTATCCTGACCAGATCATTTCCCCAAGGATGGAGCTTGGTCAGATACTGCTATTGTTTCTGAAAAATACATATATTTTTTAGAGACAGGGTCTCACTCTGTCACCCAGGCTGGAGTGCAGTAATGCCATCATACTGCTCACAGCCTTGAACTCCTGGGCTCAAGTGATCCTCTTGCCCCAGTCTCCCCAGTAGCTGGGACAAAAGGCATGTACCACCACGCCCATCTAAAATTTTAAACTTTTTGTAGAGATAGGATCTCACTGTGTTGCCCAGGCTAGTCTCAAACTCCTAGCCTCAAGTGATCTTCTCTCCCTGGCCTCCCAGAACATGAGCCTCAGGTATGAGCCACTGAACCTGGCCAAAAATCTTATGTTGGGCTCTTGCTCTTTTATTTTCTCAAGAACTCTGCTACCAGCCAAGGCCCTCGCCTTTGCCTATTACTGCTACCCAGTTGTCTTCTCCCATCTCCCTTACCAAAGGCAACTTCTGGCTCTTTTGATGCTTCGAGTTCCATAGAATAATATTGACAGGGTCAATTCCTATAGTACTAAACAGTTTACAGGTAGCTTACAAGAATTTTCTGTGTAGCCACGATGTAGATCTTATTGTGCCCATTACAGGGACGAGCAAACAGAAGCTCAAAGAGGTTAAGTGAGTTGCTTAAGATCTTATACTAGTTAGTGAGAGAACAGCCATTTCGATACACATTTCTGGCTCCAATCCTATGTATATGTTTCACATTATATTGCCACAAGAATCACAGGATTAAGGAATATTAAAGCAGAACAGATCTAAGAAATCATCTAAAATCTAGAGTCTAGACCTATACTGCCAAATACAGTAGCCATCAGCTGCATGTGGATATTTAGATGTAAATTAATTAATATAAAATAACATAAAAAGCTCAGTTCCACTGTCGTACTACTACATTTCAAGTACCCAATAGCCACATGTTGCTAATGGCCTCTTTATTTAACAGCACTTTCCATCACTGCAAAAAGTACTATATTGGACAGTACTGGTCTGCACTAACCACTGATTTTACACACTGAGGGCTATGCAACCCAGAGTCCCAAGACCTCGTTTTGGGAAACTCCATTTTAAAGTGTTAACAGACCAAATATCTGAGAAGTGGCCATAAAATCAACATGTAAATCAACATGTACCTTGTTCAAAATATTTTCCTTGTTGAATCCAACATGAAGGGAAGACAGGCAGGAGATGGTATTTTGGGGGTACACCTGAAAGATCCTGTTGTGGCCTGAGCTTCTTTGGTACATTAAGTTGACTGTCCTGGAGCAGCACAGAATCCTTGATGTATCCTGAAGAGTAGGTCAGGAGGTATTGATAGAAATAGTGGACACCAACTTCGAGTTCTTGGCAAAAACTACAAGGTTCCTCACTTGTACTAGTCTTGGCTTTGTACATTGCCCATTAGGGAAGACAATTAGAAGATGAGGGAGATTAAAAAATCAGATAGAACCCATAGAGTCTTTTCTGTTCAGTGTCTTGGGTGCTTCTGGTTCTGTGCTACATGTGTGCTTCCTCCACCCCATCATTCCCAAGAACTGGCTCTCCCTGGTGGAAGGAACATGGCAGCTTCTTTGGGACAAACAGCTCCTCCTGCCTTAGGAGGAGATCCAATGGTAATAGATGTATCCTATTTGTTTCTGTAGGCCCCATGATCAGCAGCTTCCTCAATCCAGTCATTCTCTAAGTATTCACTGAGGGCTTCCCTATGGGCCCACCCCTTGGCCAGTGAAGTAGATACAGAAGAACCAGACTTGGGCCCTTTTAAAAGGCGCTCATACAGCTGGGTGTGGTGGCTCACACCTGTAATCCCAGCACTTTGGGAGGCTGAGATGGGCAGATCACCTGAGGTCAGGAGTTCAAGATCAGCCTGGCCAACATGGTGAAACCTTATCTCTACTAAAAATAGAAAAATTAGCTGAGTGCAGTGTCAGGCGCCTGTAATCCCAGCTACTCAAGAGGCTGAGGCAAGAGAATCACTTGAACCTAGGAGGGGGAGGTTGTAGTGAGCCACGATTGCGACACTGTACTCCAGCCTACGTGACAGAGCAAGACTCCATCTAAAAAAAAAAAAAAAAAAAAGAAGAAGAAGGCACTCATAGTCTATCAGAGACACAGAGCTCTCTTGTGTTCTCTATGGCTCTGAGTGTTAGTGTGATGTAAGGTCAGAAAACAAGGAGCTTGATAATGACTGTAGTTGTCAGCAAAGATTTGTAGATGTGGACTTGAAGGGTGGGGAGGATTAATCATAGGGATGTAAAGAAGAAGTCCCAGAGAATATATATATCAGTATCACGAAGTGGGAAGCTCTGAGATGTGCAGGAAGAGGGTGGCAGGGGCCATTGGGCTGGTGGGCTCACACTCGATTCTTGCCATTGTGCCTCCAGCTTGAGGGTCTCACCTTCAAGAGGGACTTTGGCAAGGAATTATGGCAGGTAGCTCAAGAATGTGTGTGTGTGTGTGTGTGTGTGTGTTCTTAAACCACATGTTTTAGCCATACTCCATGGAGGACTCGGAGACATTTTTTGAGATTAAGAGGGGTCTTCATTCTGGGGAATGTTGGACCTAGGCTTTGGGAGAGTGGTCTGCTCTGCCCTCTGCCCCACCCAGTGAGAAACACTTCTTTGGTTAAGAGACTCTTTCTCACAGGTGTCAAGTAAATGGAACTGCCTGTAACTGTGGAACTGCCCTGGGAGTAAAACCAATGACTGGACACGCCCACAACTTTCATTTTGCTTTTTTTTTTTTTTTTTTTTTTTTTTTTTTTTTTGAGACGGAGTTTCAGTCTTGTTACCCAGGCTGGAGTGCAATGGCGCGATCTCGGCTCACCGCAACCTCCACCTCCTGGGTTCAGGCAATTCTCCTGCCTCAGCCTCCTGAGTAGCTGGGATTACAGGCACGTGCCACCACGCCCAGCTAGTTTTTTGTATTTTTTTAGTAGAGACAGGGTTTCACCATGTTGACCAGGATGGTCTCGATCTCTCGACCTCGCGATCCACCCGCCTCAGCCTCCCAAAGTGCTGGGATTACAGGCTTGAGCCACCGCGCCCGGCTTTCATTTTGCTTCAAGTCACCACTTACTGGGGGAGAGAATTGTTTTCTCTCTCAGGGTAAGCCTATAAAGCAGGAAGAAAGTCAGTCTTTCTCTGGTCCTGCCTGTTTGCTGGTGCTGAAGAAATGGCAAACAGCTGACTGGGCACTGGCACATTCTCTGCTCACTCTTCTCATCCCCAACAGGTTTGCCAAATAAAATACAGGATGTCCCAGTTAAATTTGAATTTTAGATAAACAATGAATATTTTTTTAATAGAAGTATGTCCTGAAGATTGCAAGTGTAACTGTTTATATATGTTGGAGGATAGGGGTGGGTATGCACATGCTAAATCTGGCAACTCTAATCCCCAGCCACCTCCCGTCTTTGTTTTCAGGCATTTACAGAGTGCATTTAGGGTCTGTTCATCAAAAGGGTGTCCATCGCACACCTAATGGATTGTGCTGGAGAACCGCCATCTTTAAGAGGAAGAATCCTAACATTTTATTTCTGGGAGGACATGGGATCACCTCAGATGGGGAACTAAGGAATGTTGGGAAGAATGTGGAATTGGGGATGCAGGGTGGATGTGACTTCTGGTCCCAGCTCTGCTTTTGACTAAATGACCTTGGACAAATTACTTTGTCTCTCTGGGATTCTTTTTCCTTATCTTGTAAAAGATGGGGGTTGAACTGGAGGGTCTCTGAGTGGAGAAGATTGGGAAGAAAGTTCTGGCCTGGATGTGGCATGTGAGGCTGCTGAGGGAGAGGAGTGGGAGTGAAGGCAGGACTTCAGGCTGTCCCTCCCTCTGCAAATGTGCCAGAGGACAAAGGGTGGAAGCTGTGAAAGAGGCTTGTGAGCTACCAAGTGTGGGGACTTTGCTTTAACACAGAATTGGGCTTGAAATCCTGGTGTTTTAGGTCTTGATGGAAAACACACTCTCATACCAGAATGGGAAGTAGTGCAGTTTGGGGTGTGCCCCCCTCCCATTTCCCCACTGACCTGCACACCAGAGCCTGTACATGGCATCGGGGGGCCAAGTCTGCAGAAGGCCTCGGAGGTATCTCTTGGCTGAATGCCCTGGCTGGATCTGCCGTTGGGCCTGGCTCTCCAGCTGGCTTCGGAAGTGGAGGTATGGTTGCCAGGCTCTGTCCTGCTCCCCCTGTGGGGATACCAGTTAGGAAACCGCACAGCTGCTGGGCCCTGAGCCGCCCAGTGATACAGGCTGGTTAGCACAATCTTCATCAGTAACCCAGGAAACTCCCAGAAGGTGCCAGAAGGCACCAAAAACAGATGCCTCGGCTAATAGACATAAACCAAGAGCTCACAGAGCAAAGCTCTGAAAGGCCCCTGCAGGCTTGCAGTTGGAAGCAAAGGAGAAATGACATATACCAGACCCCATCTTGAGATAAAGCATTAGGAAAGGTTAAAAGCTTCAGAAGAAAACACATTACCTAGTTCAGCCTGTGGAAATCATTTTAGTATCTTCAAAAATGGTTCTGTACTATAATGGGAAAGCCAGCTCACAAATCTACATTGGCATTCAGTGTTTGTAATATGAATAATGGGACAGAAAAATCATATCCATATTCACAGGGAGCCTGGCATTTTGAAAATATCTGGCTCTGATGCATTTCATTTAAGCTGGGGAGAATTTTCTGGGAACCTACCTGCCAAAGTCAGTGCCACTGTGTAAGACATCATGGGGAATAAATATGAATAGTAACATCTTACAGTTGACTAGAAATTTATATTATATATAGAACTTTCTTTTCTTTTCTTTTTTTTTTTGAGATAGATTCTTGCTCTGTCACCAGGCTGGAGTGCAGTGGCGTGATCTTGGCTCACTGCAACCTCCGCCTCCTGGGTTCAAGATATTCTCCTGCCTCAGCCTCCTGAGTAGCTGGGAATACAGGCATGCACCACCACACCCGACTAATTTTTGTATTTTTAGTAGAGACAGGGTTTCACCATGTTGGTCAGTCTGGTCTTGAACTCCTGACCCCGTGATCCACCCACTGTGCCTTGCCAGAACTTTCACCTCAACTGCAATCCTATAAGGTAGACTGAGTTACTATAACCACTTAAGTGATGTAGAAACTCTCAGAGGATGATTGCTTAGGCACAAGAATAGCAAAAGTGTGCCATTTGTATTGACATCTCTCACCCTCCCCAGTGCCCATGGCAGACATCCCTAATCAATCACAGCATTCTTGATTGCTGAACTGAAGGTGATCTCAGAATCCACTTTCTCCTTAAAAACATTTTTGAAACTGAGGCATAATTTATATAACATGCACAGAACTTAGATATTCATTTGATAAATACTGACAATTGTATATACTCTTGTAACCATCACAGAAAACAAAATGCAGAATACTTTCATCCACCGAGGAAGTCCCTCATGCCACTTACAGGTCAGTGTCCTCCTACCCACTAGGTAATTGATATTCTGATTTCTAACATTGTAGACTGTTTTTTTTCTGTTCTTGAACTTCATATAAATGGAAACATACAGCATATATTCTTGCATGCTCCATGAAAGTGGTCCACACTGTGTTCCAGTGAGAACTGGCATGAGAGATGAAGTCCACTTAGTCCCCTTTGGCTAAGCAGCTCTCTCAAGGCAACAATATAGCCTGGAAGGATAGAGGGCAACTGTATGGATCCAGTTAGCAGTGGAATTGGGCTTGAATCTAGGGCTTCCAAATCCACATCAGGGCAAAGACTCTTGTTCTTTAAGAATTGACCATCTCATCAAAGGACCAGGATTTAGCACCATGAACCGGCTTGTTGTCAAAACAGGAAATAAAAATGTTTCAAAGCAGGTGCCTCAGTGAGTATCCCAGACTGTAAGAACTGTGGTCTAGAGAGGCTAACATTTTCTTAAGTGTTGGGATGTGGTAAAATCTGACTCAACAGGCTTGAACAATGAGAGAGAAAGTTTGTTATCTTATGTAACAAAAACACCAAAGGCTAGAGAGTACCAGGGCTGGTTAATTCAGTGGCTCAATAGCTCTGGCATCCTGACACTCGTGCTGTAGGCTCCAAATCTCTTTCTACCCTTCAGAACAGTCTTTCCCTTCAGTCTTACAGGCGTGCAGAGGCTGAACAATGGACACAGGGAAACATCAAGTGAGTCCAAAAAGCACAAGCTGAAGAGTGGGAAGGAGACAGCTTGTGAGAAAGCCTGGGAAAGAGCCCTGGATTTTAGGGCCAGAGTGCCTGGCCTCCAGGCTGGCTCTGGCTCATGGGAACTCTGTGATCTTGGGTGAGCTCTGGAACCTTCTGAAGCTCTCTCTAAAGTGGAGCTAATAGAGGTAGAGGGATTGGAGAGTGCATGGGTTCTGGAATCAACCTGAGAGTCCAGGTTCACAGTGCCTGACACATACTAGGGGCTCGATATTGTGGGGAAATGAATAAATGAACACACAGTTCCAACCCCAGCCCCACTACTTCTCAATTGTCTATGTTATAGAATTTCACCCATAATACTGACATAATACCTCTTTTTTGATGTAAATGAAATAATATAAGTGAACGGTGTCTCACTGAGCCAGGTTATGATAAGGTGAGAGGTGCATCCTCTCCCTGCCTGTCCTGCACTCATGAAAGTGCTTTCTCATCTCTCAGCACTCCTAATGGGAGCTGAGGAGAACATGGTGGAGAGAGTGGAGGCTTTTGTGTTACTTGAGATAATCACATCTCTTTATTCCCTAAATCAGGGGTTGGCATTTTTTTTTTTTTTTCTTGAGACCATCTTGCTCTGTCATCCAGGCTGGAGTACAATGATGCTAACTCAGTTCACTGTAACCTCTGCCTCCCAGGTTCAAGCGATTCTCCTGCCTCAGCCTCCAGAGTAGCTGAGATTACAGGGGGCGTGTGGCCACACCTGGCTAATTTTTGTATTTTTTGTAGAGACAGGATTTCACCATTTGGCTAGGCTGGTCGTGAAATTCTAACTTTAAGTTATCTGCCCATATCGGCTTCCCAAAGTGCTGGAATTATAGGCAGGAGCCACCATGCCTAGCTTGGCAAATTATTTTTTTAAAGGGACAGATGGAAAATATTTTAGGCTTTGCAGGCCATATGGTCTCTTGCTACCACTCAGCCTGTCCTGGTAGTGCAAAAGCATCCACAGACAATATGTAAACAAATGGTTATGGCTGTACACAAACAAGCAATGGGCAGGATTTGGCCAGTGAGCTGTGTTTGCTGATTCCCCAACTTCAACCATTGATAATCATGAAATCTGTTGCTTGCAGCCAAAAGTGTTTCTGATATGTGGATACAATATGATTTAAAGCTGCTACAAATTTCTAATATGTGGATACAACAGATTTAAAGCTGCTACAAATTCAAGGGATGGGAAACAAGCACTGGAGAAAAGGGGATGATGAAGATGGATTGATAACTAACAAAATCACATCAGGTGAGTCCAAAAAGCACAAACGGCAGAGTGGGAAGGATACAGCTTGTGAGAAAGCCTGGGAAAGTACCCTAGATTTAGGGCCAGAGTGCCCTAAATCCAGGTTCAAGATAAAAGAAAGCGTGGCTGACTATTCAGTTGGCTTTACTCCTTGGGGACTTATGAATTAAATGAATGCTTAGAATTCAAACATAGAGCATCACCTGCTTCTTGATGTCTGGAAAGTTTATGTGGTAGGTACTTCAAGAGCAAAAAGAGCCTAGAAATTCAGTCTCATGTGGTCTTGAGGCTTTTTCCAGAGGACATGAAAGAAAGAATTGTAGAGACGATGGTGGAAGCCAAATGACACTTTCACATACTCCATTTTTTCACTCAGCCATACGATAAATATTGTCGGGTACTTTTTATATGCCAGGCACTATATGGGGCCCTGAAATATGGAGCCATTACACCAGAGGCCTTTTCTGGATGAATTAGAACCTCATTTCTTTTCTGTGAATCTTTGCTTTGACTGACTTTCCTCTGAATGCAGTAAGGACCACCAGCCTCTTCCGAGATGCTGTGGCCCCTGTGCAGATGGGATGACGTGCTCTTCGAGTCTGGACAGGAACCCTTGTAGTTTCTCATCAGTGGGATTCCCTTCCTTCCTTCCTTCCTTCCTTCCTTCCTTCCTTCCTTCCTTCCTTCCTTCCTTCCTTTCTCCCTCCCTCCCTCCCTCCCTCCCTGCTTCCCTCCCTCCCTCCCTCTTTTTCTTTTCTTTCTCTCTCTTTCTTTTTTTTTTCTTTTCTCTTTTTTAATGGAGTTTCACTCTTTTACCCAGGCTGAAGTGCATTGGTGTGCTCTCAGCTCACTGCGACTTCCGCCTTCCAGTTTCAAGCGGTTCTCTTGCCTTAGCCTCCCCCGTAGCTGGGATTACAGGCACCCACCACCACACCAGGCTAATTATTGTACTTTTAGTAGAGACAGGGCTTCACCATGTTGGCCAGGCTGGCCTCGAACTCCTGACCTCATGATCCACCCATCTTGGCCTCTCAAAGTGTTGGGATTACAGGTGTGAGCCACTGAGTCCGGCCATTAGTGGACATTTCTGAAGCATTAGCTTGGTTCTGAAGCTTTACGGGGAAGCTTGCTCCATGGTGCAGGGAGTTGCCAAGAAGAGTTAGGGAATCCTGGACCTGGAATTTAAAGTATTTACATATATTTTTGCTTAGGGTTTGGAAGCTGATTTTGGTGTATTCATTTCCTATTGTTGTTAACAAATAACCATACATTTAATGGTTTAATGTTGTTAACAAATAACCATACATTTAATGGTTTAATAGTACAAATGTACTATTCTTGCACTGTTCTGGAGGTTAGAAGTTTAAAATGGGTCTCACTGGGCTAAAATTAGGTTGCTGACAGGTCTGAGTTCCTTCTAGAGGCTCTAGGGAAGAATCTGTTTCCCTGCCTTTTCCAGCTTGTAGAGGTCATCCCCCACCTTCATTCCTTGGCTCGTGGCCCTTTCCTCCATCTTCAAAGCCAGCAGCATTGAGCCGAGTCCTCCTCGGGCTGCCCTCGCTCTGATCATTCCTTCTGATTCCTTCTTCTGCTTTTAAGGAGTCTTGTGCTTACCTTGGGCCCACCCAGACCATCCAAGATCATCTCCCCATTTGGAGGCCATCTACTGATGACAACCTTAATTCCACCTGCAACCTTGATTTCCCTGTGCCCCTTAACCTCACATAGTCATAGGTTCCAGGGATTAGGACATAGATATCTTTGGCAGGACATCCTGCCTACCACATTCTCTGTAAGTTTTTTTCTCGTTTCCTGGTTTCTTTTAATAATCTCTCAAATGATCCCTGTGAAGTTGGTTAATAACGTCCCATCTCATTGGAGAAACTGAAGCACCTGGGGATGGCCAAGGCCTGCTTAGGGCTGCCAAGAAGACCAGCCATGGTGAAAGTGACTTACTCATTTCCAACCTGTTAAATAATATTTTTCAGTGGAAAACAGCAAAATATAAGAAAGCATGTATAGTAGAATTACAATCTTCATAAAAATATATTCTGTATATAATCATGGTGGAAAGACTGGAAGAAAATAGATGAAAAAGCTAATAATGGCAATATTAGGGTACTGGGCATAAGATTACAAATAGTTCTCTCTTTTTTTTTTTTTTAAATAAAGTCAAGTTTTCAGTAATATAGTTAGATTATATTTCTAAATAGAAAACATGTTAAAAATTAATTTTATGGCACCTACCCTCTTCTCATGTGTATTTCTTTAGTTCTTCCCTAAAGTTATTTTAACCACCCACTCAAAAGTCACTCTAAAATATAAAAGGAGACAGAAGGGAGCCAGGAAGGGAGTTTCTGGAACAGGGAAATAAACGTGATAGCAGGAGGCTGACTATGTATGATTTGAGACTGTTCAGGCTTGCCTTGGCTTTGCCAATCAAGCCCAGCTTTGGGTTTCTTCTGCAATTAGTAATTAGTGTGCATGGGGTGGCCTGTTATCCACATTCCACCATGAGCGCTTCCTTTAGCTTCCTTTAACAAGGGACTTGCTCTGGCCAGTTGCCTTCCTGATGCATATCAGGTCTCTGAATGCAGAGGTGTGAAGGGGACTCCCGGTACCTGCCTCTTCCCACACACTGGCTATCCTGTCCACCTGCTCTAGTGCTGGCCACTGAGGGTTTTCAGAGGACAGAAGGAGATGGTAGGGATTGTGCTTCTGCCCAGCAGATATGGGGTGACAGGGCACCAGAGTCCCCAGGAAGAAAACAAAGGCTCAGATAGCCAGCTGCTGCCCAGGCTTTGTGTGCAGGAATCAACAGAAGGGAAGAGAGAAGCCCCCAAATCCCAGAAGTGTCAGGCACAGCCCTCCACAATTTGGCCCCACCCACTTCCCCAGGTATATTTCCAGCTGGGAGCCTGGCTAGTGACCCTGACTTCCCCTGCATGTTCTCTCCTCAAGGCCTCTGCTCATCTAAGCCTGGAAGGTCTCACCCTGCTTAACTTGACAAGACTCAGCTGAAATTCTACCTTCTCCAAGAAGCTGCCCTAGATTTTTCTGAGAGAGAGAAACAGTCACACTCTCCACCTTCTTTATTAGGAAGCCATAATCTTGCTCATCTCATGGGCTGCCTTGTATCAAAATGTCACCGGGGCACAAATCCACCTCTTTCACCAGATTGTGCACTCTTGGTGGGTAGAGGTTTCAGCCTCCCCCTGCCACCTCCTTCAACCAATATGTCAGTAAACAATTTGTTGAGCATCTGCTATGTTTCAGGCACTGTTTTAGGCCTAGGGCAGTTCCTGACTACACAGATGTTGGCTTGGTTGAATGGAAAAAACCAATAATGTCTGCATTTTACTGCTGATCACCTGTGCTCCAAGGTGCCTGCTCAATCCAGCCAGAAGTCCTTCTCACAGGAGGGGCACAGCTGGCACCTCCTCGCCCTCAGTCAGGCTTGCTGGCAAAGGCCAAGCCTTAGAACAGAGTGACTGCCCATTGTTGTTGCACCTGTGCACGTGTGACTGGAGCCAGCCAGGTGAGTGCAACTGGAGTAGGGGTGGGGGCAGGGTGGGAGTCGAGAGAGGCCACTTGCAGCTGTGCCTGGAAAGCGTCCGCCACTCCCAGCCTAACTTTGATCAGCTTCGTGCTAACACTGCTGCTCTCAGCCAGTCGTTTCTCTGCAGGTTTAATTTCTGGGATTCTGTGCAAATGATACTCTCTCTCCTGTCTCTCTTTGGTGAGCATATTTTCCTGGAAACCAGTCCATAAGGAAGAGAATCGTGAAGTGGTCTGACTTTTCTCATTAATGCAGTGTTATAACAAGGCGTGATCCCTGACCAAACCATTCAGCGTCAAAGATTTGACCAGCCATATGTCATAAAAGTAAAGGTAGAACTAGGATTGCTAGCAGCAAAAATTAGACTCCAGTTCCTATAAAGGCTCAATCTGCCTGGATATGAATCCTGTCTTGATGACTCACTAGCTGTGTAAACTTAGAGAAATTATTTGATCCACCTGTGCTTCTGTTTCTTTATCTGCCAAATAAGGATGACAAAAATGCATACTTTACATGCCAAAAAATGTAACTGGACTCTTACCATACACCATTTACAAAAGTTAACTCAAAATGGAGCAAAAACCTAAACATAAGAACTAAAACTGTAAAACTCTTCTTTTTCCCCTAGAGTTTACAACTATAGGGGAAAAGCTTCATGGGACTGAATTTGGCAATGATTTTTTTGAGTATTATATCAAGAGAAAAGGCAAAAAAGAAAAAATAGATCTAAAGTTGGACTTTATAAAAATTAAGAACTTTTTTTTTTTTTTTTTGGAGACAGAGTCTCGCTCTGTCACCCAGGCTGGAGTGCAGTGGCACAATCTTGGCTCACTGCAAGCTTTGCCTCCCAGGTTCAAGCAATTCTTCTGCCTTAGCCTCCCGAATTTAGTGCATCAAAGGACGCTATTGACAGAGGGAAAAGGCAGGCAACCCATGGAGTGGGAGAAAATATTTGTAAACTAGTATCTTAGATTAATATCCAGGATATGTCTTTTTGAGAGAGAGACAGAGACAGGGTCTTAGTCTGTCACTCAGACTGGAGTGCAGTGGTGTTATTATATCTCACTGTAGTCTCTATCTCTGGGGCTCAAGGGATCCTTCTGCCTCAGCCTCCCAGAGTGTTAGGATTACAGGTACAAAACAATTATTCAGAATATCTAAGAACTCCTACCATTCAACAACAAAAAAACAACCCACTTAAAAAATGGGGCAAAGGACTTGAGTAGATATTTCTTCAAAAAAGATATACAAATGGCCAATAAGATAAAAAGATGCTCAATGTCATTTATCAGTAGGTAAATGCAAATCAAAACCACAATGAGATTCCACTTCACACCCATTGGAATGGCTATTAAAAAAAATTTTTTTTTCAGGTCCAACAGGTGGTGCGTCGATGTAGTAACAAGGTTCAGAGAGTGGTACATTTCACACATGCATGTGAACACCCAATCATCATGCTCATGAGCTACAAAAGGATCTGGCTACTATAAAATAAAATGTTTAAAAATAGAAAGTGACAAGTGTTGATGAGGATATGGAGAAACTTGAACTCTTATGCATGGCTGGTGGGAATGTAGAATGGTGTAACTAACTGCTATGGAAAATCGTATGGTAGTTCCTCAAGGAATTAAAGATAGAATTACCATATAATCCAAAACAATTCCACTTCTGAGTATATACACAAAATAATTGAGAACAAGGACAGCAACAGATATTTGTACATCCATGTTTATAGGGCATTGTTCACAACAGCCAAAATTGTGGAAGCAACTTAAGTGTCTGTTGATGGAAGAATGGAAAACCAAAATGTGGTATACACACACACACACACACACACACACACACACACACAAGGGAATATTACTGAACTTCACAAAAGAAGGAGATTTGGATAGATGTTACAACATGAATTCATTCTTCTAATGAATGAAGACATTACGTTAAGTGAAATAAGTTAGCCATAAAGGATAAAACTATGTGCTTTCACTTATATCAATTACTCAGAATAGTCAAATTCACAGAGGCAGAAAGCAGAAATGTGTTTGCAGGGGCTAGTGGCAGAGGGAAAGGGGGAATTACTGTTTCATGGATATGAGTTAAGTTTAGCAAAATGAAAAAATTTCTGGAAATGGGTGTTGGTAATGATTATACAACAATGTGAATATACTTATTGCCACCTAAAAATGATTAAACTGTACACCTAAAAATGGTTAAAATGGTAAATTTCATGTTATATATATTTTAATACAATAAGAAAAGGCACCTACCTTATTAACTTGTGAGGATTAAGTGAGTTAATAAGTGTAAAGCACTTAGAATGGTGCTGGTATATTACTCAGTTCTACATAAGTATTAGCCATTGTTATAAATATTGCTAGTTATACAAGGGAACCAATGAATGAAGTACATAAAACCTGGAAAAATGGGACTGTACTGGATCATATATATATATCTTACAGAAATGCTACTTATAATCCAATTTAATTTTAATAAAAATCTGATTTGCTTTCCTAGAATTATAAAGGGTTAGCTTAATGGATGTATTGAAAGACTCAGATCCACTTTTTAAAAATACTGCTAAAGCTGGGGAGATGATGCTTTTTCTCTGGGGCATGTGGAGTTTTCAAAATCAAGCCTTCTAGGGGTTAAATGTGGGGCTTTGGAATCAGTTATTGGGCTCCAATTCTAGCTTCACCACTGAGGTGTGTAATTTTGAGCAAGTTAGTTAATGTCAGGCTCCATATTTTCCTCCCAGAAAACGGAGGTAATGCTAGCTAGCACCTGGCTCATAGGCTTGTGCAGATGGAATGAGGTTGTACAGGTAAAATGCCTGCCACACATTAAAGCACTCAGTAAGTTCAACTATTATTGATATTACCTTTGACCTCATAGTTGAGTTGACCATGTTTCTCTCTGATCACTCCTACTTTCAGGTTTATTAAAGGTTGCAAGTACAATGTCTCAGGACCTGCTCCAGTGGAGCACACTGGGAAAAAGGCAAATCACCCTTTCTCCCCCTTTGTGGCCTTACTGCCTACTGAGCACTGTTGACAGCCGCCAGAGCACTTCCCACATTTTACCGACATCATCAAACAAGTAGCAGGTTATTGATCGGGACTTGCAAGGAAACTTCATCCTCCTAATCTCTGGCTAAAAGGGTAACAGATAATTTTTGATTCTCTCTCCTTTTCTATAGCTTTCTAATATGCATACAAACCCTGTATTATGGTTAGAATGCGAAGAATAAACTTAATTCAAAAGGCATATTTCTCACAATATTTTCTACTCGATAAAATGGTAACCTGGGCCGGGTAATGTGGCTCATGCCTGTAATCCCAGCACTTTGGGAGGCCCGGGTGGGAGGATCACCTGAGGTCAGTAGTCCAAGACCAGTCTAGGTAACATGCTGAAACCCCATCTCTACTAAGAATACAAACGTTGGCCAGCCATGGTGCCATGTGCCTGTAATTCCTACAACTTGGGAGCCTGAGGCATGAGAATCACTTGAACCTGGGAGGCAGAAGTTACAGTGAGCCAAGATCACACCACTGGACTCCAGCCTCGGCCACAGAGCAAGACTGTCTCAAAAAAAAAAAAAAAAAAAGTAACCTAAAGTTTCCTTCATGGGTGGACATTGACTGAAAACAGCAACCAAAGCATTAAATGCCTTGAGTATTAAGATTTGGGGAGAAATTAGGCAGTATAGAATGAATGGTGACTATTCAGAGAAACAAGGCTGACAATACTTTAAAAACTAACCAAATTTATAAAGGAGATGACAGTAGCAATACAGTTGGCTCTCCGCATCTATAGGTTCCACATTTGTAGGTTCAACCAACCATGGATCAAAAATATGTGGAAAAAAATTAATAATAGCAATATAGACTAGACTCAGTGACTCACACCTGTAATCTAATACTTTGGAAGGCTGAGGTGGGAGGATTACTTGAGCCCAGGAGTTTGAGACCAGCCTGGGCAACAAAGTGAGAACCTATTTCTACAAAAACATTTAAAAAAATTAGCTGGGTGTGGTGGCACATGTCTGTAGTCCTGGCTGCTTGGGAGGCTGAGGCAGGAGGATTGCTTGAGACTAGGAGTTCAAGGTTACAGTAAACTATGATCATGCCGCTGAAATCCAGCCTGGGCAACAAAGCAAAACCTTGTTCTATGGAAAAAAAATATAAAAGTAAAAAATAATACTAATAAGAACAATACAGTATAGTAACTATTTACAAAGCATTTGTACTGTATTAGGTATTACAAACAATCTGGAGATGACTCAAAGTATATGGGAAGATGTGTAGGTTATATGCAAATACCATGCCATTTTGTATAAGGGACTTAAGCATCCTTGGATTTTAGAATCCTCAGGGAGTTCTGGAAGCAATGTTAGTCCTTGATTTTGAAATTAGGGGTATCCTGGAACCCTGCAGATATGAAGGGACAATTGTACATTGTTGGTTGAAATCTGCTATAGTTATCTAAATCCTGTTTATCTCAATGGAATAGAGAAATGTCATGTCCTGTGAACTGAATTTTAAAACAAATTGTTTAAAATACATTATTTAATCAATGTCTCATTGTTGGGTACTTACACAACCCCAAATTATGGTTACTTAGGTTTTTTAGCGATTTGACATGTCAATAATGGGAAGCTGAATAAATTAAAGGCCTCAAGAAGAATGATTTCAACTTTGGAAATGCTAAACAAGATTTCCTTCTGTTAAAAAAACAACAATAACAAAAAACCAACCAAGCAACATATCTGTATGTATCCAGAAGTCTAAGGATGCTGACCTCTGATTTCTTGATTTAACATTTATTTACCCATTAGGAGCTGGGACAGGAAGAAAGTTCAAGGGTGGATGTATGCTGAGCTATAAACTCAGACGGTTGGCTCATGTGTGCTGTCAGATCAATAGAGAAGCTGGAGGTGCTGTGAGATGCTTTGAACATTGACCTGCACCTTTCTGTGACAGCCTTCATTCTTGCAGGTCTAGGTGAGGCCTGAGACATGCAGATTTCTTGATTCACAGTCCAGCCAAGAACAGATCCTTCCATTAGCAGCACTACTGTATTGGTTAACCTCCTCTACCCCTTTTCCCGTCCTCACTTTGGCTCTTTGACTTTGAGTGTAGTGTTTTAAACTCTTAAACTATCCTATTTTGACAAAGAAATACTCACCCTAAATGATAGGTGGTGTGGTTATTGGTGGGCTCATCTTGCAGCACTGTTTGCTTTTCCATTTTCCTCCCCAAAGCCTCTCACCTTGATCTCTAGCTTCAACTGTCTACCCCCTTCAGAGCTATAGATTTCTATTTTATTTGTAAAATTCCATAGTTTAAAAAATATATGTGGTCGCCGGGCGCGGTGGCTCAAGCCTGTAATCCCAGCACTTTGGGAGGCCGAGGCGGGTGGATCACGAGGTCGAGAGATCGAGACCATCCTGGTCAACATGGTGAAACCCCGTCTCTACTAAAAATACAAAAAATTAGCTGGGCATGGTGGCGCGTGCCTGTAATCCCAGCTACTCAGGAGGCTGAGGCAGGAGAATTGCCTGAGCCCAGGAGGTGGAGGTTGCGGTGAGCCGAGATCGCGCCATTGCACTCCAGCCTGGGTAACAAGAGCGAAACTCTGTCTCAAAAAAAAAAAAAAAAAAAAAAAATATATATATATATGTGGTAAAATGAAAAAAATATGGTTGATAATCCCACCACCCGTGGTTTATGCCACAGTTGAAATTTGGGTAGATTTCCTTTGGTGGATGTATAATCAAATTTTATTTATTTATTTTTTTTGAGATGGAGTCTCACTCTGTTGCCCAGGCTGGAGTGCAATGGCACAATCTCGGCTCACTGCAGTCTACACCTCCTGGGTTCAAGTGATTCTCCTGCCTCAGCCTCTCTAGTAGCTTGTATTACAGGTGCATGCCCCCATGCCTGACTAATTTTTTATATTTTTAGTAGAAATGGAGTTTCACCATGTTAGACAGACTGGTCTGGAACTCCTGATCTCAGGTGATTTGCCTGCCTCGGCCTCCGAAAATGCTGGGAATATAGGCAGGGGCCACTGCACCCAGACAATAATCAATTTTTAAAAATCAGAATTACATTAGAGAGGTGATGTTTTCTATGTGGCCTAGTCTCACATTCTGGTGCAGTGATTTACTTTGCTATATAACCTTGAGTGAGTTACTCAAACTCTCTGTGCTTCTGTTTCCCCACCTTTAAAGTGGATAGTAATAGTACCTACCCCCAGAATTCTTAGAAAGCATAAATAAGTTATACTTGGAAAGCACTTAGAATAGTGGCAAAAATATCATAACTACTCAAAAAAAGTTAGTGAACATTGGTATTTTTAGTATATGAATACAATTTTGTAATCTGCTTTAAAAAAATACATTCCGGTCCAGGCACGGTGGCTCGTGCCTGTAATATCAGCCCTTTCGGAGGCCGAGGTGGGTGGATTGCTTGGACCCAGGAGTTTGAGACTGGCCTGGGCAACTGAGCTAAACCCCGTCTCTACAAAAATACAAAAAATTGGCCTGGCATGGTGACATGAGCCTATAGTCCCAGCTACCCGGGAGACTGAGGTGAGAGGATCACCTGAGCCCCGGAGGTTGAGGCTGCATTGTGCTGTGATCATGCCACCGCACTTCAGCCTGGGTAACAGAGGAGACCCTGTCTCAAAACAAAAACATTGTGCGTGTTTTCTCATGTTATTCATGACTAACACATGACTTCATTGCTTGACCCAGGTCATTACATGATTTATCATAGTTTATTTAATTAGTGTTCCTTTGCTGGATATTTATTGTTTTCAATGTTTTGCATAGTAATGAAGAACCCTGTAGTAAGTGTTTTTAGGCATAAATCTTTGAACCTATCTCTGATTATGTCCTAGGACCGGCTCCTAAGTAGAATGTTGAATCAAAAGGTATCAGTCCTTTTTAGGCTTTTGTCATATTGCCCTCCAGAAATGTCATGTGAATTTGTGCTCCTAACATGTGAGACTGCTGTTTCCCTGTAGCTGTCCTGGCACTGGGTATTATGATTTTTAAAGTTTCTTGCCAGGCTGTTGTTTTCATAGTCAGATGGTACTATTTTCCAAAGCTTCTTAGGTGTTCATTTTTTCTTTCTGTTTTAAAAAAATAATTTGTATTATTTTAATTTTAATAGAAACATGGCCTCACTATGTTGCCCAGGCTGGTCTTGAACTCCTGGGCTCAAGCAATTCTCCTGCCTCTGCCTCCTAAAGTGTGGGATTACAGGCGTGAGCCACTGCACCCGGTGTGTTCATTTTCTTTAATTCCAAGTCCCTTTTGAGTTGCTTCCCCTCCTCTTTTAATCTACTATGTCCTTTAATCTTAAACTCCAGCCATGTACTCTTCCATATGTTTTCTTTTCTCTGATTTCTTCACACTCTTTCCCTCTGCTCATGTGTAGTTAGACTACATATTCTGTTTTGTACAGATATGAGCTATAAATTTAGAAGATGGATACCACAGGAAGATAGTAACTTCTTTTTTTCATTTAGCCCAAATATAACCAAAAATGAAACTGACCCCAAAGTGACTCATCTACTTTATAAACTAATAAGATCTCTGTTACCTGAAGTATTTAGCCTTATAGACAAGCATCTGAAAATGATGGGAGGTATTTTTACTGTGGGCAGTAAGTTAGCCTATATATCACTCAGTGTCCAACCAGGAAAATAGTAAGTATTTAAACACAGAAGGAATTGAATTTAGTGAATTGGTCGTACAGGTGATTGGAGAGCTCAGAAGCCAAACAGATGGTGGTGGGGGTTGGGGCAACATTGAGATTAGTAACATCAGAAAGCAGTGCCACACTTAGGCTAGAAGGACAGAGGGAGGATCTGGTGGGGTCATCTGGAGGAGTCGGGGGTCATAGTGGGCCTGTCTGTTGAGAGCTGGATCACAGAGGTAACGCAGATGCTTCTTTTCACTTGACGCAGAGTGGGAAGGGAGAAACACTGTGGTCTTCCTCTTCTCCCTCTCCAATCTCTTCCCAGTGTCTCCCATTGGCAAATTCAATCAGAAGCCAGTGGACACAGATGTTTACAGAATTGTATGTAGCCTGTGGTCAACCTGCCTGTGATGCAGAGCAGAGCAGGGGAAGAGAACAGAGAGGATCTGAGAAAAACAGGCCACAACAAGGCACAAGACCACTGGAGTCCCTTTGAGTCCACAAAAAGCAGGACCATGCAAAGTGTGCAGGCCCTGGTGAGGTAGGCGGTCCTGGATTTGAATACTGGCTCTGTCCTTTAGTAGCTCTCTGGCCTTGGGCAAATCACTTACCTACCCTGAGCTGTGGGTTCTTCATCTATGAAAGGAGGCAAGAAAAACCGTATCGCACAGGGTCATTGTAAGGTTTAAACAAAATAATATTTAGCTATAATGCGACGGTCAGCATTCAACAGTTGGTTTTCTTTTATTCAAGAATGTATTATTTTTAAGACAAAGAACATTGGATATTTGGCCAAGGTCATCAAGCTTCTCTATTTTGAAAGATGAAAAGAGGGCAGAGGAGTCTTTTCTTTGGGGAGCTGTGCCTGGCATGGGGGTAGGTGATAAACTGTCCAATAGTGATTCTGGGAGATGATCTTAGAAACATTGAAAATATCATGCATGACCAAGTCATCCATTCCACAAACATTTGTGGATACTCATACTTTCTGGAAATGATTTAGACATAGTCTCCACCTTGGAAGAAATGTTAATCCATCAGTAATGACAGAGAGTCAACAAGATAAATCTCAGTGCATGATGGTATGGGAATGTTTGCAGAGAAGGGAGCCATGGGCTATCTCTGCCTAGGGGTGTGGGAGAAGGTTTCAGTGAGGAGGTGGTATTTAAGTTGTGTTTTGAAGGATGGGTAGGAGCTTGCCAGCTGTAGAAGTGTTTGCAAAAATGAAGAGTCACAAAAGGGCACAGGTGTTGAGGAACCATGATGAGCTAATCACATGGGTGGGGCCTTATGGCATCAGTGGTTGAAGTGGTATAGGAACAGGCGGGAGATGTAGCTAGATATGGAGAGAAAGCCAGTGTGTGAAGAGCCTGATGTAAGAAGCTAATGACTTTATTTTGTGGGGAATAAGAAGTCGGGAGAGACTTTTAGATTAGGGAGTCTCCCACCACTTCTAACCTAGAATTTTACTAAGTGACACATCTTCCCAGACTATCTTATGGCCTCAGCCAAAGGGCTGATGCATGCAATTCTATAAAGCAGGGGCCAGGTGCACATCTCACAAGACATTAGGAAGTATGAATCAGAAAAATGAGCACAGGCATTTCCCCTTAATATTATATTCAGGATGGAAAAAGTCATTAACTTATCCTGCAGACGCTGAAGGGCTCAAGGTAAATATTTAAAATGTTCTCCCTCTCATTTCCACAGAGCCAAGAACATCAGAGGTGGGATGACGATGCTTGTGGCTACGAGACAGGATTTCAAGGATCCTGATGAAACGTCTGCTGGCCTGAATCTGTCTGAATGCTGAAAAGGACTTTGTGTTACTCTTAACTAAAAGGAAAACACAAAATGATAATATAGCCCTTTATGCTTTTCAGAACCCTTTCACATACATGATTTTATTTGAGTTTTGTGACAATGGTGTGCAGCAGATAGGGCTAAGAGCACAGTCAATCTCCTTTTAGAGATGAAGAAATGGAGGTCTGAGAGTTTGATGCCTTCCCCAAGGTCCAGGAAGTTATTCCCACAGTTGCAGCTGGGTTTGTAGACATGCCGCCAGCACCTTCCCCAAACCCAAGGGAGTGCTCTACCTACCTGTTGCCTTCCGTATGCTAGGATGGCTTCTTTGAGGTCTTGAAGTGTGTACAGTTCAAGATCCAGCTTCCTCCAGTAACCTTTGGGGCGGGAGGGCCCTTTTCCCCTCTGTTTGTGTGTCCATGCCGGAATGGCTAAACCTTCTGAGTAGAGGATCAGGGCACCCTTTCTAGTGCTAAAAGTTTTAGGGAGAAAGAGGCTCCAGGAGTGCTGGTTGGCATTGTCCTCATCTTGAGGTTTGCTGGCAAGGACATAGTCTTCTGGGGACTTCCAGTTCAAGTAATCCTGCAATGAAAAGCAGCTGCCTTGACAGGGCCACTGTGGAAGGTCTTTCTACAGCAAGTACTGCTGGTGGAAGGCTGGCGTGCTGGTTCACATCTGTAATGCCAGCACTTTGGGAAGCCGAGGCGGGCAGATAACCTGAAGTCAGGAGTTCGAGACCAGCCTGACCAACATGGAGAAACCCTGTCTCTACTAAAAATACAAAATTAGCCAGTGTGGTGGCACAGTCCTAAGGAGTCCTCCTGAGTCCTCAGGAGGCTCAGGCAGGAGAATTGCTCGAACCTGGGAGGTGGAGGATGTGGTGAGCCAAGATCGTGCCACTGCATTCCAGTCTGGGCAACAATAGTGAAACTCTGCCTCAAAAAAAAAAAAAAAAAAAAAAAGAAAAGAAACTATTTTTCCACCAAAAGAAACATTGCTGGTGAAAAGCCTCTGGCATTTTTTTAGTTACTGATTTTCTCTGAATTGTTCCCATGGTGTTATGGAACACAATTGCTCTTCTTAGCAACTGCCTTTTCTCTCCACATTACAAAATTAGTAGAACCCAGAGCATGGTTCTATTTCACTCCATCCAACTTTCAGGAGAGTCATTTATGGCTGGAGGATTAACTCAGCTAGAGTGTAGGTTACAGGCCAGTTAAAGTTTCCTGGTATGCAAGTAAGCAGTCAGAATTATTAAGGGCAGTAGATAACTTTGAAATTAGACCTGGACTAGCTGGCAGTTTAAATAGGAGCATTTGAAGCTCCCACCACTTCATCTGTACACAGGGAGAATTTCTATGCATTCCAGATGCTATGTAACATTACCTAATTTGGCTATTTAGGGGCCTATAAAGTGGTTACATATCTTGTAGGTAAGAAAATGCCACTGCCCATACTGGTCCTTTGAAACTTAATATGCCTTTTAACACAGCAAAGGCCAAATACATGACCAACTACTATGACAATGGAAATCTCTGTATGACCCCCAAATTTGCAAAGTATCCCCAATAGATTTCTTATTCCTGGTAGGAATAAGAAATAAATTCCAGCACAACAAGGGAATTTTGCCACCTCTTTAAAATCTTCTAACATGAGATTTTTTTGGGGCCTATATTAAATATGAGTCCTGTGGGTTGAATTCCAGAAAGTTCAAGGAAGCCATTGAAATAGCACGAACACACACAGCATTTTAACCACAGAGCATGACTTCCAAAAACCAAACAATCATCAGCTTGCCTAGAACCCAGGTGTAAATTCTGGTCTTGCACCAAACCATCCAAATTCCAGAGACTCTGGAATTCCTTTGGTCCAAGCAAAGGCAGATACAAGGAGAAAGACAAGGGTCCCAGTGGCAGTCTTGGTGTGTCAGGAAAACGACATTATTTTCTTGAGTTTCATGGAGGAGGAAGGAAGATCTTCCAGCGACCCCCGCCACCTCACTAACACCACACACCAAGACACACATGATTTACCTCCCAAGTGGAAAAATAGAGCATTCCTCTCCCGCCCCCAAAATGTGCCTTTCTTCAGCTGTGAGACTCACCTCTGGTTCAAAGTAGACTTCCAACTTCTGTTTGTCCTGGCCCAGCTTCCCGTGGCCCCGGCTCAGGAGGGAGAGCGTGAACATGTTAAACTCTGACCACCCCTTCTCAAGGGCAGTTCATCTTGGTTTTGAAGGCTGAAATCTGGTCACACCTCAAGATTTCCAGAGCTCACAGCAAGCCCAAGAAGACCACAAACACTGGACCTTTTATGAAATACATTTTTCCTTCTCACAGCAGCTTCTTAATAACAACCAGCCACACAGTTTAGACACTGCGTGTCTTTGTGGAGCAAAAAAAAAAACCGCATAGTCAGACTCCTCAAACCCTGGATTTTCTATACTCCGGGCAACCTGTCTCTCCCTTCGCCTGAGCTCTTGTTGTCCCTGGGTCCTGGTTGCTCTGTTACCAGCCCTGTGCATCTACGGATCTCGGCCACAGCACCATCCTGCTCCTCTGAGCGGAGGTTGTTTCCTGGTTGCTATAGCAGCACAGGGAAATGAAGTCCCTTAGACTAACTCGGGCAAGGCAGAGACGGGTGCCGGGTGCAGTGTGCATTCGCCAGGGATGGGGGTGGGGGTCAAATGGACACTGAAGGGACCAGGCTCAGGTTGCAAGTCCCGGTTGCACGGGGTGGGGGCCGTGTTGGGGTACTTTTTCTGTTATTGTTCTCATCTTGCTTTTAGAGAGCATCTTCCCCTCTCCTGATATGTGAACCTCGTGCTGTCAACTAACCATTAACAGAGCCGGGGTGTCATCTAGGTCACCTGAAACCACCTGTGACTTTTACCTTGCTGAGAGCTCCAGCATCCCCTGGATGGGGAAGTTTGACAGCTCCGTTTCCGACCTGGGCCGGTTCACCCCTCCTTAGGCAACCTGGTGGACCCCGCGCCTGGGAGGTCACCATATTGATGCCGAACGTAGTGTGGACACCCGATCGGCATAGCGCACTGCAGCCCAGAACTCCTGGACTCAAGCGCTCCTCCAGCCTCAGCCTCCCGGCTGGGACTACAGGCACGCGCCACCGCGCCAGGCTCTCAGGTCTCTTTGACAGTGACATTGTGACGAGCGCAGGACAGGAGGGAAGAGGCTCAGAAAACAAAAAGACCCCTTTGCTGGGGATCTAGGGACCTGCTCAAGCCTGGGCAAGCAAGCTGCCTTTCAGCGTTCAGCCGAACTACCCCGGTTGTCTTGTGGAAGTGCCCCCTGCTGGCCAGTTTGAAGAAGCACAACGGGCTGCAAGCCCACTTGGCTTTTTGATCTTCCTACGAGGCACCTTCCACTCCCCCTCCGACCTTCCCCACTTCCAACCAAGCTCAAGTCTCCTGAGAAAGAAATAGAAGTTATGTTGTAGCCGGCGCGGTGGCTCAGGCCTGTAATCACAGCACTTTGGGAGGCCGAGGTGGGTGGATCACGAGGTCAAGAAATCGAGATCATCATGGTCAACATGGTGAAACCCCGTCTCTACTAAAAATACAAAAAAATTAGCTGGGCATGGTGGCGCATGCCTGTAATCCCAGCTACTCAGGAGGCTGCGGCAGGAGGATTGCCTGAGCCCAGGGGGCGGAGGTTGCGGTGCGCCATTGCACTCAGCCTGGGTAACAAGAGCAAAACTCCGTCTCAAAAAAAAAAAAAAAAAAAGAAGTTATGTTGTAAAATAAGATAGGGTTTATTATGGGGAATCAAGACAGTGAATGAGGGAATGCAGAGGCTCCAAACTGAATATAATCAAAACCACGATGAGATACCACTTCACACCTACTAAGATGGCTATTATTAAAAACAAAACAAAAGAAAAAACAAAAACAAAACCAAAATAAAATAACAAGTATTAGTGAGGATATGGGGAAATTGAAAACCTTGTGCATTGCTGTTGGAAATGCAAAATGACATAGCCTCTGTAGAAAATGGTATGACAGTTTCTAAGAAAATTAAACAGAATTACCGTACTATCCAGTAATTCCACTTCCGGGTCTATGTACCCAAAGGAAGGGAAAGCAGGGTCTCAAAGGGATATTTGTATACTCATATGTAGAGCAAAATTGTTTATAAGTGCCAAAAGGTGGAAGTAACTCATGTCTATCGACAGATGAATGAATCAACAAAATGTAGCAGATGGATACAAGGCAGTATTATTCAGCCTGAAAAAGGAAGGAAATTCAGACACAGGCCACAACATGCATAAACTCTGAAGATATTACACTAAACATTATAAACCAATCATGAAACAACAAACATTGTATGATTTCGATTATGTGAGGTACTTATGTGAGTGGTCAGATTTGTAGAGACAGAAAGTAGGTGGTGATTGCCAGGGCTGGCGGGGAGATGAGAATGGAACATCAGTGTGTAATGGGTACAGAGTTTCTGTATGAGGAGATGGAAAGGTTCTGGAGATGGATTCACAGCAATATGAATGTACTTAACGTTAGTGAACCGTAAACTTAAAAATGTTAAAATGGTAAATTTGAGCCAGTGCAGGTGGCACACACCTATAATCCCAGCTGTTCTGGAGGCTGAGGCAAGAAGTTGCCTTGGGCCCAGGAGTTTGTGATCAACCTGAGCATCATTGTGAGACTTCATCTCTAAAATGAAAGTAAATTTATATTACATATATTTTACCACATTTAAAACTTTTTTCGGCTAGTTGTGGTGGCTCACACCTGGAATCCCAGCACTTTGGGAGGCCAAGGCAGGCAGATCACTTGAGGTCAGGAGTTCAAGACCAGCCTCCCCAACATGGTGAAACTCCGTCTCTATTAAAAACACAAAAATTAGCCAGGCGTGATGACATGCACCTGTAATCTCAACTGCTTGGGAGGCTGAAGCACAATAATTGCTTGAACCTGGGAGGCGGAGTTTGCAGTGAGCCTAGATGGCACCACTACACTCCGGCCTGGGCAATAGAGTGAGACTCGGTCTCAAAAAAAACACGTTTTTTAAAAATATTGTACGGCAAAAAATAAAAAAGAAAACACTGAATTCAGCACTTCATAATCTGAAAGCCGATGGAGTGACCTTCTCAGGGCAGGTGAGACAAAATTTGAGAAACCCGGTGTTCCAAATAGCTTCCGGGGTCTTAGCCTCTAGTTGCTTCCTCCCTTCCCCTTCCCTATCCCTTTGAAGTGCAAAAAGGGCCCTCAAACAAAACTTTGTCGAGAGATTACTGTATACCAGACAGGATCCCTGGACTCAAGATGGTGCTGATACCTGAAATATGACGTGACAGTTGTGTTAATGGAGGTCGAGTGAAGTAGGTGCTCTAGGAAAAGAGGTGAAGGTGTGTGCATGGGGGAGGCGGGGGATGGATGGTGGCAGGCACTGTGGAAGGCCACCAAGATGAGGAAGCTTAGAGGTGGGCTTTGGAAAACAGCAGTTTGCTAAGTAGATGTGAGAAGATGGTGAGGAGGGAAGATCAAAGAGCATATTGCAGGAGGCAGGGATAAGGAAGTTTGAGGTCTCTGGGGAAGGGGTGACTTCTCGGTTGTGATCAAAACTGCAAGTCAGCTGGGAGCAGTGGCTCACACCTGTAATCCCAGCACTTTGGGAGGCTGAGGCAGGTGGATTACCTGAGGTCAGGAGTTTGAGACTAGCCTGGCCAGCATGGTGAGACACTCCCCCACCCCCCTGACCCCATCTCTACTAAAAATACCAAATTAGCTGGTTATGGTGGTTCATGCCTGTAACCCCAGCTACTCAGGAGGCAAGGCTGGAGAATTGCTTGAGCCCAGGAGGCAAAGGTTGCAGTGAGCTGATATTGTGCCATTGCATTCCAGCGTGGATGACAAGAGTGAAACTTCATCTCAAAACAAAAACAAAAACAAAAACAAAAACAAAAACAAAAACAAAAAAACAAAAAACTGGGCTCAGCATGGTAGCTCATACCTGTAATCCCAGCACTTTGGGAGGAGAAGGTGGGCGAATCACAAGGTCAGGAGTTCAAGACCAGCCTGGCCAATATGGTGAAACCCCATTTCTTTTTTTTTTTTTTTTGAGACGGAGTTTCGCTCTTGTTACCCAGGCTGGAGTGCAATGGCGCGATCTCGGCTCACTGCAACCTCCGCCTCCTGGGTTCAGGCAATTCTTCTGCCTCAGCCTCCTGAGTAGCTGGGATTACAGGCACGCGCCACCATGCCCAGCTAATTTTTTGTATTTTTAGTAGAGATGGGGTTTCACCATGTTGACCAGGTTGGACTCGATCTCTTGACCTCGTGATCCACCCGCCTCGGCCTCCCAAAGTGCTGGGATTACAGGCGTGAGCCACCGCGCCCGGCTGAAACCCCATTTCTACTAAAAATACAAAAATTAGCCAGCTGTATGGTGGGTGCCTGTAGTCCCTGCAACTTGGGAGGCTGAGGCAGGAGCATCACTTGAACCTGGGAGGTGGAGGTTGTAGTGAGCTGAGATTGTGCCATTGCCCTCTAGCCTGGGCAACAGAGACTCTGTCTTGAAAGAAATAAAGAAAAGAAAAAGGCAAAAGTGCATGTGGACAGAGGTGCAAGGACAGAGGTCAGCTGGCCAAGGCCATGAGGGCTGCATATACCCTGCTGAAGCATTTTGGATTTTATTCTTCAGGTAGGTTTTTTGTTGTGGTTTTGTTTTGTTTTGTTTTTTAGAGGCAGGGTCTCACTATGTTGCCCAGGATGGTCTCAAACTTCTGGGCTCAAGCGATCCTCTTGCCTCAGCTTCCCAAATAGAAATCACATGAAACAGAAAATAGACGCTAGTTAATGGCCACTTCCCCGGCACATTGAGGAATGCATCCCTTGTTTCAAAGTGCTTGGAGTTAATGACTGTCACTCTGGAGAAGTGGCCTATGTGATACTCTCAGAACCTTTATCCCTCTTTAAAAGGGAGTGCAATAGTGTTTTCTAGTGTTGTATTCATCTTTAGGGGAAATCTATAAGGAGACTCCTTGGTGTTGCCCTTGCTACCTTGGGATTACAGGTGTGAGTCATTTGCGTCCCCAGGTAGGTTATATTAGAGCACGGGAGGTAGGGGATGGGGGGGGATATGATTCCATCTGGGTTTTAGAAAGATAACTCTGAGGAACTTATAAAGGATGAATAGATGGAGGAATCCTTATCTCATCAACCTCTGGGTGAACTTTCAAGACTTGCGACCCAGGCCAGTCTTCTCTTGGATATGAATGAACTTGT